CAGCGAGTCAAGCCCCGGTGGAAGCCGGACACCAGTGGTCGATCCCAAGGAATAGGATATAGGGCGTCGTGTCCTATATCCTATTCCTTGGGAATAGGATATAGGGCGCGAAATGTTAGAGACGCGACTGCTCGCATTGCGCAGAACGCCGAGTGGGTAGCTACTTTCAATAAAGAAGGCGGTCATCGTCTTAAAGGGGCCCTCAGGTGGATTCTGAGATCGTCTATTTATTGTCATAACTCAATCTATGGACTCTAAGCATCCTAAGAAACCCGAAATTACATACAAGGGCGGCCAATCTCGCTATTTAAAATTCAATTAAAAATTGGGGCATGCCCTCCTTTCTGTGCCGTGGCGCAGAACGCCAGAGGGTGCCATCGGACGGGAAGGCAGCAGGGGAGGGCACGTGACAGCCAATTACGAATAATGGCTTCCCAGCACACTAAATTTTCGAACATGTGCGCCTTTGAAAAATCAGTCCGCCGCGAAGCCGTCACTCGTGACTGGCTGTCGCGTGCCCTCCCCTGCTGCCTTCCCGTCCGGTGGCACCGCCTGGTGTTCTGCGCTACGGCACAGAAAGGGTGGCGTGCCACAATCTTTAATTGGATTTTTAATATGAAAACCGGCTGGGCCCTTGAATGCTATCTTGGGTCTTTCAGGATGCTTAAAGCCCATAGATTGAGTTATGCCAATAAATAGACAATCTCAGAATCCACTTCAGTGCCCCTTTAAGCTGTTGACGGAAATCAATGTCGTTGCTGCAAATCCTACAAAGGCAAAGGATCTGCAGCCTCAAACGACTTTTTGAACTCCAACACTGGTTTGCCCAGGGGACGACGCTGCACCCTTTTGTCCAAGACACCACACAGTAGACGGTCCTATAGCATGGCTGACAAGGTCTCACCAAAGTTGCAGTGTTTGGAGAAGCGGCGCGGGGCGGGGACGAAATTCGCGATGCTTTCTGCAGGCTGTTGGCTGCACTTATGAAACGCAAAGCACTGAACAATCACTGACGGGCACGGCGTGAAGTGGGCGGCGAGCTCCAACACAATGACCGCATAGGGAGTCCACTGGCACACACAACGAGCATACGACGGAGTAGATTGTCGGTCCACAAACGCTACACAGGACTGCGCATATTGGGGACTCCTCGACGATGTTGTGCACAATGAAGAAAAAGTTTAGTCGCTCCTGGTACAGGGGCCACGCTTCAATCTTTTTGGGTCGAACTCTTCGAGATGTCTCAGCCGCCCCATGATGACAACGTTAGGCTCATCCTTTTTTGCCATATGCTCTCGTCGTTGCCAAGTTGCCACGAAGCTGTCGTTGCTGAAAAAAGTGTGGTTGTGTGCCTCGGAGTTTGAATTTCTTCATTCCCGTCGTTGCCCAAATCTTTATTCAGGCAGCCGACTTGGCCGTGCAGAAAAGAGGAGTTAGACAAGAGGCACATGGTTTACGACGAGTCCCCGGAATGACAAACGGTTCGGTAAAACCAGCTTGACTCGCCTTGGCTTGACTTCTGCTGACTCGCCGATGTTGCCAGATGCACACACACAACACAAGATTCCGTTTCATTTTAAGTGCAAGATCCAGGCTTTCAATGCCGCTACCAAGCATGCACGATCATGCACTGGTAGCATCGTTCAGGGCAACATGCTCATAGCTTCAAGGGGCACTGACACATCAAAATCATATTTTTTTTTATTATCCGAAACGATTGAAAACGATGCCGGGACATTACCCTCAAAATTTGAAATTTGGGAATTCAGTATTAGTGAAGTAAAAAAACAATTTTCAAATGCCGAATTCGAAGTTCCCGCGCGATCGGCGCCGGTGCCTTGACGTCAAAAATTGCGGAGACCTGAGAGTCCGCTTCCTTTCACCACTCCCTGATGTTGCCATGGCGACCCAAAGCGAGGAGGAAAGGAGCGAGCGGAGCGAGCGCCGGCGGACCGGTTTTGAGCGGTGTCGCCTGTTTTCCGTTGGAGGATACAAATCCAGGAGACGGCACCACAACCAACTCCCGATTTTTGGTATTTCAAAAAGAAGGGCCGTAGTGCGTTCGCAATTGCGTTAAAAAACATGTTTTAGGATTGCCGTAATTAAATGTTATAGAGATGACGCCTACAAAGCTTCTAAATTTCCTGATTTTTGACGTCACCGATCAAAAGAAGCGAGGAGGCGAGAGGCGGGAAAATTAAACGCCAAAAATAAAAAGGCGCGCGCGCGCGCGGTAAAATTTTTTTTCGCGATGCGTTTTTTTTTGCGTGTCTATGACTGCAACTTGCATCGTTTTAGACAATAAAAATAAATACGACCTTTGGGGTGTCAGTGCCCCTTTCAGCTTCACTCACGCATGAAGTAAATGAAACCATGGCTCCTGTGTCCACTCTAATTCTCCAAGTCAGTAGTAGGCTGAAATTTATCCATCACTATAAGAAGTTGGGAGTGATGCTGAGAAGTCTGGGAGGGTTGTCGCATGCACGGAATTGACCGATCGACGTGCACAAGATGATGTCCTGGATTGGGCAAGGTTCGAGCATGTTGGATGGTATCAGGAACACGTGGTTACACAGGATCCATGGGGACACGGCGGTCCCATTGACTTTGGCCATATGTGCCTGGGGCGGCACTGCTTCCCGAGTGCTAGCCAGTGCCAACCTCTGGAACATGGTCACGACACTGCCTCAGCATCCCAACATTGAGATACTGGAACTGGTAGCAGTGGTCTAGGAGAGCCAGAGGAATCACTGTAGTTGGATAGAAACATTGCAACAGATGCATCAGTCCTCTAGGCACAAAACATCTTACACCTTAGTCATATTATTCTTAAAATTGGAGATTCAATGGAGATGCAGAGCAGTTAAAATTTCACCACACAGCTAGCTTGGAACATTTCTTTGAAACTTCACAGAATGGCAAACAACTCTGTAGCTTCTAAACATAGTATTTACAGTGCTAGAAGCTGGCACTCTTGTCTCGTATCTAGAAACAGTTATTCAGTCATTTTCACCTCATCAAGGATGCACAATTGGGAAGATGATCAATCCAGTTGTTTTATTCACATTAAAGCGAATTAATGAATAACTTTAGAATGCTGACAGGAGCCATATCAGTTAGTTTTGAGTGACATTCAGTAAATGGAAGACAAGTGAATTTTTTTTTCTTTTTAATTTTGTGAGTTTCAAACAAGATAGCCTGCATTTTCTAAGAGCTAAAAAAACATGTAGGGATATTATTTCTACTAGTTCAAACTTTTTTTTTTTATTATTATTTTTTTTTTTTTTTTTGCAAAAAGGGTACTTACTATTTTTATTGTGCTTTGGTAGCCGCTGGTGCTGAAACTTGATGTCCCAGGTGGCATTCCTACAGCGATTCTCTATGACCTGAGGGAGTCCTGGGGCAGTTCGGTTATCCCGTGTGTGTTTAACCGTTCAGCGGTCGCGGCGGCGCTCACGATCTTCGGCCAGTCGCGTCGGAGGGATGCGATCACTTGGCAGTGGTTTGCCCCACGACGAGCAAGTTGGCGATGGTTCTGTCCTCCGCAGGAGAGTATGGCTTTGCAGCGCCGACTCACTTTGTCACTGGGGTGGTTAGGTGCACGCAAGTCACCTGGCCAACCAAGCACTCTATGTAACACAGACACACATTCACATCGCCGGCATCAGCCAAACGCCTGCTTGAAGACGCGGTACGTTAGTAGGTACGGTTAACGTCCCTGGATATTAGTGAAAAAACATCAAGGGACTTTAGGTACGGTAGCCTGTCTTCAAACCGAAGCTCGCGGAATGCTTCTACGACGGAGATGATGGACGGCCTTCTCAACAGGGGAGACGCTCGAACCAAGATCAATTCATACCGCCGTGATAGTGACGGCGGAAGCGCAATACGGCATCCAGGATCCCTCGCAGACGTAGAAGTGAGCACGGTGGCCGAAGATCGAGCGTGAGGGACAACCAGAGCAAGCAAGCACTACCGAAATTAACGAAAGAACTGTGTGAGCAAGCCGTCAGCTGTAGTGGCGGAGCGCGGGAGGCCCGGCTTACGGATCGGCTTATGACGACGTTAGGTTGACTAATGGATTTCGCCCCACGCTTCGCTTTATTTTTTCGTCAGAAACTACTGAGCGCAACTTTCTATCCCAGTTTTTTGTTATATTTTCTTGTCCCAGCAGACAAAACACACAAAAACAAGTGTTTTGCCGTGTTAAAATTGTTCATTTTCGAAAACGTGTTCTATGTGCACGAGACGAATTTGCGATCGCAATCGTAATAGACATCACTTAAATGCCCGATCCCCCAAAGGTCATCCTGGTGATATCCCACACTACCTGGTGATAGTTAGGGGGTAGAAAATTGGCTTAGAAGGGCGCGGGAAATCAAATCAAATGTTTGTCTTTCTTAGACTTAGGCTAGGTGGCGCAAGCTACCACCCGCTACAAAGGGTATAGCCAGTAACATCCATCCATCCATCCATTTTAGTTGTCGTCTGGCAGGTCCCATCCTGAATGTCATTTGAAAACCTGAATGTCATTTGGCGTAAATGCCATTTTAGCTGCCGTCTGACAGGGGTATTATAAATGAGCTAGTCCAATCAAATATCTAAGAAAACACGCTACGTCGCTGCGTTATCCACGCATTTGTGCACGCCTTAAAGGGGCACTGACACCCCAAAGGTCGTATTTTTTTTTATTGTCTAAAACGATGCAAGTTGCAGTCATAGACACGGAAAAAAAACCGCATCGCGAAAAAAAATTTTTCCGCGCGCGCGCGCGCCTTTTTAGTTTTGGCGTTTGATTCTCCCGCCTCTAGCCTCCTCCCTTCTTTTGATCGGTGACGTCAAAAATCATAAAATTTAGAAGCTTTGTAGGCGACATTTCTATAACATTTAATACCGGCATTCGTAAAACATGTTTTTTAATCCAATTTTGAACGTACTGCGCACGTTCTTTTAAAATATCCGAAATCGGGAGTCCGGAAGTTTTGAGGCCTCCTGGCTTTTTATCCACCCTCAGTTAAAATGGCGGAGCTCGGCATCTGTAGCAGGCTAGCAGTGAGAGCCGGGACTCGGGTAGCAGTGACCATAGTGAGGATGGTCGGAGAATCGGACGAAGTTCCCTTTTCGGTGCCCGACGACCTCTCAGACTTAGAAAAACAAATAGTCGAACGATCGAAACAACTGGGTTTGGTGCCTTATGATACCCCTGATCGGGAATGGGACGATCCGGATGACGCCGTCGCCGAGTCGTCGGAGCTCTCGCCCCACCCTGATTTGTGGCGTCTCGACAACACTGACTGGTGAGACCAATCTAAAAGTCATAGATCAGTTCACCCAAGTGATATTGTTATTTCGTGGCCTTCACTAGGTGCAGCTGCAGCCGATGTGCTGTGTTGCCCAGCTTCGTGCCCGACGAGTGCCGCTGCTGCAGGGATATGGGTCCCAAGTTGACTCGGATTCAGCGCCTGGGCTGCATCACGACGCACGAGGAGTTTCCCCTGGTGTGCCTCAACCTAGTGATGCTCAGGCTAGCCTACTTCGAGTTGCACGACCGAAGATTCGCCATGCACCACGACATGCATAGGTAATATATTCTGTATACTCGGCGAAGTTGATGCGATCTATCGGGCGTTCACGTTGGCCCTCTGAAGTGACCGAATAGCTTGGCTTTTTAACGTGTCACGCTGCTATTTATAGAGGTGCCCGCAGGTGGTTGGTAGATTAATTATTTCAAAGTAACGCACATAACACTCGTAAAAAAATGTTGTTCACAAATTTTTGCCAAGGCATCTTTTCGAAGTTATCAAAATTAATTTTGAGCCATTGTTGCGTTTATTACGACTGCTAAATGGGTCGAATAGATTCTACCCACCATGTGGCAGAAGAAACTGAAACTCTCCTAATGTTGTGATCTTTTTTTTCTTCTTTTCTTCCAGGCGTTATAGGTATGTTGCCTATCGCCGATTTGTGCGCTGGGTGTGGGGGCGACTTGGCAGGGGCAACAGGTTTGTCCTGCCTTCTTGTGTTGTGCGGACAATCAGGGAGGCATTTCCTAGTGAGGAGGAGACGGGGTTTAGGTACCCAAGGTTTCCAAGGTGAGTCTTGGTGCAACAATTTTACTTATGTTTATTTTCATATGCCACAAAACAACTATACAGTTTTCATTTCGTTGCATAAACCAACAGATGAAAAAATCGAAATATATTAAGTACTATACAGTTTTCATTTCGTTGCCTAAACCAACAGATGAAAAAATAGAAATATATTGAAGCACTATACAGTTTTCATTTCGTTGCATAAATTAACAGATGAAAACATAAAAATATATTGAAGCAGGAGCAAGCATTACACAATATATACAAGGCCATGTTGCTGCTCTACAGCAGAAAAATGCAGTTGACAAGAGAATGAACACTGAGAAAAGTTTGATGTCGTCTGTGAACAGCAATAGGGTACTGTCACAATCTCGATCAGGCTAGTAGCACTGCCGGATTCCCTAGTGGTAGTTGTCTGCTACCACGATCACCATCACGAGACATTAAAGCATTTCATCAGGTCCAGAAGTGAAAGTAACGTTGTCATGTTTCTGTTCAGCCAGTCATGTCCTGCTGGTCTTGCGGTCTATCTACACTTGTAACAACTGGCGGCGAGAAAAAGAATTCATTCAGGTTCTTCAGGCGTCGCAAGTTCTATCTACACTTGTAACAATTGGTGAAGAGAAAAAGAATTCATTCAGGTTCTTCAGGCATCGCAAGTTCTATCTACACTTGTAACAATTGGTGACGAGAAAAAGAATTAATTCAGGTTCTTCAGGCGTCGCAAGTTCTATCTACACTTGTAACAATTGGTGAAGAGAAAAAGAATTCATTCAGGTTCTTCAGGCATCGCAAGTTCTATCTACACTTGTAACAATTGGTGACGAGAAAAAGAATTAATTCAGGTTCTTCCCGCGTCGCAAGTTCTATCTACACTTGTAACAATTGGTGAAGAGAAAAAGAATTCATTCAGGTTCTTCAGGCGTCGCAAGTTCTATCTACACTTGTAACAATTGGTGACGAGAAAAAGAATTAATTCAGGTTCTTCCCGCGTCGCAAGTTCTATCTACACTTGTAACAATTGGTGAAGAGAAAAAGAATTCATTCAGGTTCTTCAGGCGTCGCAAGTTCTATCTACACTTGTAACAATTGGTGAAGAGAAAAAGAATTCATTCAGGTTCTTCAGGCATCGCAAGTTCTATCTACACTTGTAACAATTGGTGACGAGAAAAAGAATTAATTCAGGTTCTTCCCGCGTCGCAAGTTCTATCTACACTTGTAACAATTGGTGACGAGAAAAATAATAGACCGATCTCACCAGCCAGTTGGACTATGCCACCGCTGCCGCAATGCATCGAGGAAATTTTAGTCTAGTTGCGCGTGCGTCAACCTCGCTGGAGCTCTGTGTGTGCAGAGCACGAGACGGCAGGAGCCCTCTCGTGCACTGCCGTCTGCCTCTGGTGAACTAAAGTTATGGCGGCGTCACGCATGCGCCGAACGCTTAGTGAGAGCGGTCTATTTATTCAGGTTCTTCGGGCATTGCAAGTTCACGACATATTCTACAGCTATCAGGTTTTCTTCAAGCTTCTGAGTTAGCCATGCCTACATTCGGCAGAATTGAATCTTTTCAGAGAAAGGTGAGGAGAGGCCATCATACGTCAAACGTCTTGGAGCTTTCTTTTTTTTTTTTTTTTTTTCAACGAACAATGTTGAGGATGACAAGGAAAAGGACATTTTCTTTAGTTGCGACACAGAAACCTACTCCCTACTCCGAGATCTGGTGAAGCCCGCCAAACCACAACATAAGTCTTTAGGCAAAGTTCTTACCATTCTCGGGAGCCAGTACTGCCCCAAACCTTTTGGTATTGTTCAATGTTTTCGTTTCAATTTGCGTGTTCCCACAGAAGGGGAAACCGTAAGGAATTTTGTTGCAGCATTGAAGAGCCTGTTGGAGCACTGTAATTTTGGAACAGCGCTAAGAAACATGCCGAGAGATTGCATAGTCTGAGGAATAATCAGCATTACAATCTGGACCAGGCTCCTGGAGCAGCTGGACCTCATGTTCGAGGATGCTGTACAGACCGCTTTGGCCATGGAAGCAGCGAAGAAGGACACTGGAGAGATTTGCCAGGCAAGCTCTAGCAGCAATGCGTTCACGACTCACTGTGTCACGGCATTGGCGCGAGACGTCACCTGCTACTGCTGCGGAGATTAACTCCTTGCATACAGCTGCAAGCATGTGAATACCACGTGCAGCTACTGCAGCAAGCGGGTACACCTGTCGAAAGTGTAATTCAAAATAGAAGAACGCCCAGTCGTCCAAGAACAAACCTGCGAAGCAGCATTTTTCGGGGTCAGGACGCAAGTCCCGTCCACCTCAGACATTTCCAATGAACGTTCTTGATGACAACTTTGAAGATACCGGAGTGACATCGTCCCGAGGTTTTTGACATGTGGCAAATTGACAGCGCTGCGTCCTCACCGCCTTCCACCGTCACTGTGTGCAGCAAGCCACTTTGCATGGAGATGGATACAAAAGCAACTCTGTCCGTCATGTACAAAAAAAAAAACTGTTTTCAGGAGTACAGGAGATGGTTCGCCTACACTGCTTGGACGCAATTGGATTCGAGAGCTGGGAATCAATTTCTCGAAGGTGGAGGCAACCGTTCATTCCCTCTCGGATGTGAAAACTCTAGTTCACGAGTTATTGGAAGTCTTCGAGAAAAGTCTTAGCACCTTCAAGAGCACAGAAGCCACAATTCATGCACCCCACTTCAAGCCACGCCCGCTACTTTCTGATTTGAAAGATGGAGTTACGCAAGACCACCAGCGGCTAGAAAGAGAGGCTGTTTTTATACCGGTCAGAACTTCAACCTGGGCTGCACCCATTGTTCCTGTGGCAAAGAAGGATGGTCGTGTGAGGATTTGCTGAGATTTCAAAGTTACTGTAAATCAAGTGGCAACATTAGAGAAGTACCCCATTCTAAGAATCTAAGATCTGTGGGCCACGCTTTTTGGGGGCGAGAAATTTACAAAGTTGGATTTGAGGGATGCCTACCAGCAAGTAGTTCTCGAACAAGACTCCAAAAAGTATGTGACCATTTCAACACACATGGGCTTGTTCCAGTACACCCGTCTTCCTTTCGGAGTGTTGTCTGCTCCAGCTCTACCAGTAAGTAGTTCTCGAAGACTCCAAAAAGTATGTGACCATTTCAACACACAAGGGCTTGTTCCAGTACACCCGTCTTCCTTTCGGGGTGTCGTCTGCTCCAGCTATTTTCCAGTGAGAAATAGAGAACTTGTTTTTTGGATTGCCACACGTTGCTGTGTCTTTGACAACATTCTTGTCACTGGCAAGTCTGACCCGGATCACCTTCGCAATCTTCGTTCCATTCTTGCTCGTCTTCATTTCTGTTCAGCCGGCCACGTCCTGCTGGCTTTGCGGTCTATCTACACTTGTAAAAGGTACCATTACACAACAGAAAGCAAACTAGCTTGAGGTAGAGTTATATACAAGTACAGGGAAGAGCAGCGTTACTGGATCGGCTAAGTTGACAAGGTCAGAGAAAAAAGTGACGCGCTGCCATTCACTGCCGTGTAGCGGCATTCGTGTCACAGCCCACCCAACCCGCTCGGTCCAACGATTGGGTACCCTTGGACACACCGTGAAGTCACATAGTTTCTGTGTGGGCTTACAAAGTGTTTTACTAACAACTGTTGCATTGTGGTAATGTCCGGATTGGAAAGCCAGCCCACCCCGCTCGCATGAGCGGAGGGGGCTGGCTTTCCCAAGCGCGGCTAATGCGGAGCTTGACAACCGAGCCGATCTAGTAACGTTGGGGCAGAAAAGGTTGAATAGGATGGTGCCTAGGCCTTCCCGAACCGGGATTTGTGTACAGCTACCAAGTCTGCCTTAGACGGTCTGGGTTGCACCCTGGCAATCATGGGTGGAGGAGGGGGAGGAGTCAACAGCTCAGAAGCAGCTTCCCTGAAAGATGGCAGACGCTCGAGACGTTCAAGCACGTTCGTCATCAGTGTACTGATATACTCTGCAAAGAGAAGATTTCAGTGGTATTGGTTACACATTGAGTGAGAGTGAGATTTTGCGTATGTTTACCGAATTTTGCCCCTTCTGCCATTTGGAATGCCGCCAGATGGTCCTTCCTTGATTTTGATGCTTTGACCTTGTACCTGCCCTGGCCATCCTTGGTTGTGGCCTGCAGGCGTTTTGCATTTGCATTAAAATGCAGCACAGCCAGTAGGGTTCTGGAAGAGATTTACACACGTTCAGAGCAGTGTACAGATGTGAGGTGTGGCGTAGCATACCGGGCACGCATCCCCTCATAGGTGAATACGGTAGACTTTGGTGCGAATCCGATGAGCACACTATGGAATGACTCCAGGCTGTAGGTTTGGAAGGAAGGCGAAAGCTGCCTGATGTCCCGAAGCAGCAGTGGGGCAAGTGCAACTTTCATGAAAGCCTGGTATGCTGATGACTCTTTCGTATTATGCAAGAAAAGAAAAACAACATCTGTTAGTTGTCATCTCAGCTTCTGAACAGTTTCTAAAAAGAACCCACCTGCATTGAGCCACAACTTGTTGTGTAACGGCCCATGCATGCATCTTGAGATGGAGCCCTCATGCCCGTCATGAACGTTGATGATGTGGCGCGTGATTGTTTTCCACGCATCAAGCACCACTTGGCCATCGCCATTCCCAATAGCTGCACACCAGTACACGTGGTTCGTCACTTTTTCCATCCATCTTTTCAGATCTTTGTTCTGAGGGCGTTTGCTCGCTGCTCGCAGCTTGTTTGTGATGCCTGTAATGGATGGACAGAGTGAAGAAACGCTATAAAGTTTGACTGGTTTTAGTGCTTGGAACTAAGGAATTGTATTCGTAGAATGGAACAATGAGGATTGTAATTAGAACTCCAACAAGTAACTGACTGGTGAGCTTTATTCTGCACGACGAGGGTAAAGTAAATGCCGTGCTTGTAAGGCCCTTCCAAATCTTTCCTTATGAGAACAGTATTTCCCTGAATATTCATTACTGTAATATCCCGCCACACAGGTAGCTGGTTTATTATTTGCATCAAGTCTTCAATAGGCTTCATATTCATCCAACCAGCTATGTACAACATTTCGTTATATATTTTAGACCTGACGGGCACTTTTGACGCACATTCAATTGCACAGACATGCTTTCCCCAAGTACACACATTTTATGATAATATCAGATTTACGGAGGTAACATCCAGCCCTCAACTGCAACCCCTATTATCCACATCTGATCTGCTAGCAGCAAAGTTTATTATATATACCGGCATCTACCAGTTTTGTTTTGTGTACTTTTGTATATGTCCAGGTAGCTGCAGGTGTTCAGAGCTCTGTTATTCCATACCCTTTGCAAAGTGCCACACATCGAAGTAGTGGCTGACATCGGGATGATTAGTTGCCATCTCTTTCTTGATTGACACATGCCGATCTGTGGTGAATGATAACACATCTATGTTGTTTTCTTGCAGGTAGTTGAAGCCTCTCATGAAGCCAACCTTCTCCATGTGCGAGCTTGCCTGCACTGCGTCATTCTAGTGAAGAAAGAAAAAAAAAAAAAGCAAGGGAGTTGTACACAATTGCCAAGAACCTCTCTAAAAAAGGCAACTCTGGTTGAAAATGAAATTAAAGTAAGTTACTGGTGTCGCTTTAGTAGCACGAAATATGATCATAGCTGAAATATTATGTCAAAGTGAAACCGCATTCTCCCATAAAACTTATTTTAAAGATGCGACCAGCTGCTCTTTAGCACGCGGCAAGCAGGATAGCTTTTAATCAAGGAAAACTGGTGCAGCATCTGTGTGACGTCATGCCACGGTGGAGTTGCAGTTCATTGGTTGTACCGCAGCACCCTTGTGACGTCACGTTGCAGCCGTACGGCTGATGACCAGTGTTGCCACCCTCTAGCAAGTACTTTTGGTTTTGCCGTAGACGACCAAAAGCAAACTTTGAGCCGTAATATTTATAAACTATGCGCAATATAAAAAAAAATTGTACCTTGTTATTCAGGGACACTGGTTTACCTAAAAACAGTCGTAATCCCAAAATAAGAAATATATTGACCACAGTTGCCCTTCTCTTAGCCCATTCGGTACAGCATGCAGCGTGCACTGCCGGGCCCTCCACATGACAGGCTGTTCCACCTAAAGCTGAGCTACTCCTTGCACGAATCTTTTGCTTCTCTAACATGCTTTCCAGCAAGCATAAATGAAAAGAGGACGAAATAAGGAAACATGTTTTTTTACAACCTGGAATGCTTTGCTCATTCCTCGTCTAGCAACAGTTCTGACGATGATGCGCCACAGTTAGGAGTACCTTTCTGTAGTTGCGACTCACAAGTCCTTTTAAAGTGTATTTGTTGTTGGCAGAATTCTCCGAAATGGTGCTACCATCACAAGAATTCCCCTCATCTTCGTTATTTAAAAAAATAATGTCTAGGTCTTCATGATGTCATCGTCGGAACGACTATGCCGACTGCTCGTCGCTGCAATTTTTCTTCTAATAAACAACAAGCACCCCAAAAAACATGCAGACTATTGACATTAAAACAGAACGTAAGGGCGCAGGTGAGGTGGTTACATCAGTCGGTAATATATCCAACTTCACTACAAGTTACTGTAAAATGCTATTTATTTATGTTTAGAAATAGAGTGAGTCAATCATATCAACTTTCCCATTACACAAGTACATCATTCGTAACATTCTTGTAGACAGCTATGTCTCGTTTACATTGACGCCTTGTTATGTAGACATTTTTTGGGGTACTGGTCTCAGCTCACTAAGTTCTGTCCCATCAATATAGGAATCTGCAGTCCAGAGTATAGACAGCTAGTTTGGAAACTGGGCAGATAGATGCATTTTCGTCTCATTATTTTACACTGGTTCTCTAAAAACGTTCACAAAGGTCCAAAGAGAAAATATACTAGTTGAAGCCCCAGGACACAGAGTGTATGCAGAGCTCCAGTATTGCCAATCTTGTCATAAAAACCCGTAACAAGGTAGGCTCATTTTGGCTTTCCTTTGGCACTATGCACAGGCACGGTAGAAGAATAGAGGAGGAGTCTGAACTGTGTGGGATCGCAACGGAGCAAACCTCGTCTCCTTCCACCATGTGCACGGGCAACGGTTGCCATAGCAACCTGTCGTTGCAGCTCAACTGGTCGTATCGCAGTCCGTTATAGCAAAATGGAAATTTCTGAACCTGCCTTTCTTAGCTGACCGTTGTGATTGTTACCGCTCACACTTATCCATTCCGATAAGCCATAAACGTAAGGTTCGTTGTAAATGGATGCAAGATGGATTTGTAGAAATTGTTTCCACAATTCTTCCGTGCTGTAGTGATAATTTGAAGTTTTAGCTAACATGGAGGCTGGAACACAGATGAATGAATAAAATTGTTCACCTCACCAACTTGAACTTGCTCTGTGTGCACAATCTTGTTCAGGGTGTTGGAGTAAAAGCTGTATGTGCCATACTTAGCGCTAAATCCGGGGGAGTCGCAACGTCCATCACCCGATAAATGGGCGCCTCCTGCACTTCTCATCTCCTCAAGGATGCATTCCTGCTCGGCGTTCCAGACCTGAATGACATGAATCATTTTATTTCTGCAATATAATTAACGAAACTCCACATTGAGAGCCCGTGACTGAGAACAGAAAGAAAGACAAACAGCGGTTGCATTAAAATGGTGATTTGGGCTAGTTGGTTCATTATCACGCACAAAGTGCCGAAACTAACAAGGACAATAAGAAGGAGTTGAAACTACACAAGGACAATAAAAGAAAAAAAGTCGAAACGGGGCACCTTTACAGCTAAGATTTATGGGAAAACCCAATCTCTTTATACTCGTAGCAGAATACACAGTCACGCCTGTGTGTGGTGTAGCCCGTGGCAAAAAGGCTTACTCTTTTGCCGATAATGACACGGACGTGTCACTAATACAATTTATACATTTTTCTGTTATATCAAAGGCCTCGTACAGCTCCCTAGATATCCAACTGGAATATGATGGCGTACAGGAGCAGTATCTGCAACGTGTAGCAAGGTGTCCTTGGGGGGGGGCTGTCCGTGTAACCGCTGTATGTTTGCGCTTGCAATTATTAAAACATCTGCCCATATGGCTGACGATCTGCATGACATGGGAATTTCATATACCAGTCCCGTGGCGCATTCTGTGAACTTGTTGCAGTGCTTTGTATCACAAGGATCTGTGGACTTTGAGGGAACTGTTGATTTTGCGGCCCACTCGTGATAGCTTATTGGGTGTCGAAAAAGAAATGGGTGCATCGTATCGATCGGCAACCTTTTTAAGATTGCGGGTTAATGAGTGCTCATGCAGGATTCGCCTAATCTCTTTCCTGAGGTTGCTTCGGTGTCCCTTCTTTCCTATTAAGCTGTCCGCCACCTCCGCCAGAGTGCTCCGACGGTAGCCCGCTTTCTGCAACCGACACACACATACACATAGGCACAAAGAGACAATGTTTCGAGGCGTTACTTAAAAGGTCCTGTGCACATAGTGCTCAAGAGATCTTCACGGAACAGGTAGCATGGTTGCAGAAACCGGGCTGCTGTAGGAGCGCTCTGGCGGAAGTGGTGGACAGCCTAATAAAAAAAGATGAAGGGAGACTGAGGCAACCTCGGAAAAGAGACTCTGCAAGTCCTGCGGTAATCCTGTGCTTGTACTCATTAATCCACAATCTTAAAAAGGTTGCCGATCGGTACGATGCACTCATTGTTTTTTCTGCACGCAATAAGCTATCACAAATGTGCCGCAAAATCAACAATTTCCGAAATTCCAGATTCTTGCGATACAAAGCACTACAACAGGTTCACAGAATGCACCACGGGACTGGTATATGAAAGTGCCATGTCATGCAGATCGTCGTACATCGGCCACACGGGCAGATATTTTATTAATCACAAGCGCGAACATGCTGCGCCTACACGAAGAGCCCTGTCAGGACACCTTGCTACACATTGCAGCCTCTGCTCCTGTGCACTAGGTCCAACACTATAATCTGGACAATGTTAAATTTGAAAACCTCACGGTATAAGAGTTTATTCTGTTTTTATTTTATTTATTACTGCAGACCCCACACAATTCTAGCAGGGAGAAAGAAAGCAATGCTGGTGTCCCTGCAAATCTGGTATGAACCAAAGGAAGCCTCGCATGTAAGGCGAAAATAGTCAGTCAAAGCTCTCGAGTTTAGTAGTCGAGTGGAAGTTTCCAATTCAATTTTGTCCAGATTTCAATAGTGGACCCAGTATGTGATTTAACACTGCAATACTGCTGCAGGATGACATTTCGGCATCAAATGTGAGTAACTGTTAGTGGGTAAAAAATATGTTCATTATGCTAGTGACTGCAGTACATGAGAGGCTCGCAAACATTAAAGGCCCGTTCACACAGTTGCGTTCGGAGCGACCACTACGCTTACGAACTAATGCAACCGGTTGGAACGACGAGTTACCATAGCAACGAAGCGCCAAACGGTCGTTTTGTTCGTGTTCGTTCGCAACGCAAGGAGTTGAGCCTGGCTGAACTTTTTCGTTACGTTCGGGAACGACGGGAGCGACAGACCAATCACAAATCGAAGAGAGCTTGGTCGCGCGCGTTGCATGCCGGTCGTCCCGGGCTCCTTCGAGCTGTAAACATGGCGTCCGTGGTGATCGTCGACGTAGACGGCGTGGTGGAAGCTCATCCTTCCCCGTAAAAGCACTATCCTTGACTGTGAATTTTCGTCGTGTGTCGTTATGATAGCCCAGCACGTACTAGAAGGGAAGATCCACCTACTCGTGCGGCGATCTCGTGGCGGCACTCTCAAGACAGCAGAAACGCCCGTGCCGTTGTGTTTGTTTACTTCGACTACAGTGGTGCTTTCTTAGCATTTGTGTCCTCGCACATCGCCCGGATTTTTGGCGCATTTCATGCGTGTGCTTAAGTTCAAGGTATTACTGGTGCGTGCCGTATAAAGGGTGCAAATTTTCACGCTTTTTCATCGCCCGAAAAAGGTGATTAGTGTTAGCAATCCTGAACGCTCGCAACGTCTGTCAAATTATATTTCTACGTAGCGTTGCTAAGATTACATCATCTTTTATAATTGTAGAAATGGCGTGTGGTGAGATTTCTACTGTTGGCAAAGTCGTGTATTAAAGTTGTGATCGTGCAAGACGGCGTACTGCATCTTTTTCTTTTTCTAATGCACTACCCTGCAAGCGTATCCTGAAAAAAAAAAAAAAAGAGTAATAAAGCTTGAGGTCATAGAAGACGGTCTATTTTCTGTTACGCAAGTGAGTGGCAGTGCGTCCCCTTCTTTATAGAGGCACCGTTGACACAGCTGACGGCAACGGAGAGGCGGTTGCCGTGCTGCCGACCCGCTGCGCTTGTTGCAGTGGCAGAGCAGTGTACGCGCGGCACAGAGCGGTCGTTGCGGTCGCTGCGATCACGACGGACGCAGTCGCGGATAACGGGTTCGTTTTAGATGTCTGAAACAGCCTTTACAAAGCTATTGTAGGCGCACAGCAGATCTTCGTGATTGTACGCCGTAGCCGAAACCTCGGGCTGCTCTGGTGAGGGCCCGGTCACTGATCTCTATTGTAGTAGGCTGGATCGCGGACCGCGGCCTCGGCAGCTGGGGCCGAGTGTCGCCATCGGCGGCCATTGATTGACACCAGCCAATGCATGGGACTCTATGAGAAGAACGAGAAAAAGTGCCGCTTTTCTCGTTTCTAAGCTGTTGTAGCACTGAAACTTTTAAGATGCTTTTCGATAAGCCCGTCAGATAGTTTGCATACAAATATTAAAACTGATAGCCCTCGCAGTTCTTTTAAAGAAATATTTTGTGGTCGAGAGTGACTCCGCTGTAGTACAGCTCAATGAGGCAAGAGTTACCTAAAGTTACCGCGGAGTGGGTGGCGGTTTTGTTGAGTTGGGTTTAGCAGACGAGGAGCTCGAAGGCTTTGCCACGCGGAATTTGCTCACTCCCAGAAAGCCGCTGTCGAGATGGAACTTCTTTGTCATTCATCAACTTCTGGGCTTCCCCGAGGACGGTCTCATTGACAGCAAGTTTCTTTGCTTACTACACTACGAGAGCCGTAGGCGCTCCGGTACGTTTCCCTTTTTTTCATCAGCGTTCGAACATTTGACAAATACCGATTCAATCTCCAAACACTCGACATAAGGACCGCAGCTCACCATAAAACACTCGCCTTTGAGCACAGCGTACATGCTTCAATATTCTTACTTGTGTGCGTTTCTCCCATAGACTTGCGTGTATTGCCTGGTGTCAAGCAATAGCCGCCGGTGGCGACACCGACGGGCTCCCGATCCGTGATCCAGCCTACTACAATAGAGATCAGCGGCCCCGCTACCCTGCGTCGGGTAGGAAACCGTCCGCCATGTTTGTAAGCGTAGCTGGGTTGCTTACTATTGGCTAGGAGCAAGAGCTGAAACTCGTTTCTCATTGGCTGTTGATTCGTGTGGTTGCATGCGGTTGCATGTGTGTGTACACGTCGCGCACAGTTGTCGTTGATGTCGCAGCAGTTGCATTCGTTCGTAAGCATAGTGGTCGCTCCGAACGCAGGTGTGTGAACGGGCCTTAACAAAATCTTGATATGAACGTCCGTTATTTTGAATGGTGGTCTGAGGTGGTGAGGACCATATCTTGTAGATTCTGGGTGTGATTGTCACCCATTATGAACACTGTCCATCATAACATAGTATTGAAAAAGAGACTTACCCTGGCTATTGAAGGCAGAAGATAATGCTTTTGATATCTGTAGTAGGTGCGGTCGGAGATGACTTGAATGTTGATGTGCCGCAGCATCCTCAGTGTTACAACAGGGCTTGCCCCACTGAAGAGAACTGCGGCGGAGAGAAGAAGGCTTCCCACGTTCCTCCCCGACACACTGGGCTCACTTGTCCACTTCCTGACATGTCCATCTTGGCACTGTGTGGTCACTGTCAGGCAAGTGCCGTCAGGATGCAGTTCCGCTGTGCAGGGCTTGTGGCACTCTCTACAAAACTTGAACAGCACCAACAAGGATCCTTCATAGATTATATATTTCCTTTCCTTGTCGGGTGTCGGAGCTGTGCTTTTGCCTGCAGACCTTTAGAGTTAAAAAAAGAAGGAACATATAATGTTGAATGCTTTGTGCATCATGCTAAAACTACTTGTAAAACTAATGATTCTTTATTTGAGATTTCAAATAAAGCCATGTATGGATAAATATCTGAGGCAGGAAAATGGGGGGACTAGAGTTATGTGCTGTGCAAACTAGTGCAGCTTGGTGGTCAGATTGTGAAACACAGGAAGTGGCATTCCAAAGCAATTAGCACCATAACTGAGACAGTGTATGAAGTAAACCAAACAGTTATGATAAAATTTGCAAATTACATAACTTAGAATAAATTATTTAGAGCTTCATTGCAGTATATCAAGCAAGGCGAACCTGTTAATGCTGTCTTCTTCCGAGGGGTAGTATGTGTCATCTGCGGCATCGTATGGCTCTGCTTCAGAAGGGGGGTCGGCTTCAGAGAAAAGGTAACCTTCAGAGGGCGGGTCTGCTTCTGAGGGGAGGCCATCCTCAAAGGCAGGGTCGGCTTCAAGGCAGCAATCTCCTTCAGTGGGGAAGTCGTCTCCAGGAAGCTCCGAGGGCAGTTTTATCTCTGAAGGCAGCTCTACCTCCATGTCTTGTTCCGTTTCACAGAACAACCAGTCAATCCCTGCCAGTGTGGCTGGCCCAGGTTCCACTTGAGGCTGCGGTTCCTCTGTGGGCTGAACCTGATATGCCGGATCGATAAATGGAACCGGTGATGTTGGTCCAAAGTCAAAGGGACAGATCTCCAGTGCGGCAGGCGAAGATGTCCGCATGTAATCAGTCTGAGTGCCACGGCTGACTAGAACCTTGAACTCTGTCAGCATGTCAGTCTGTGTCGCTGGAATGAGAAATTTTTTGGGGTGAGTTGCTGATAGAAAATTTGCATACTCATAAACACAAAAATAAAAAAAAAAAAATAAAAACACCCGCCAACAAAGCTTTAACGAATCAGGGTGCCTTTGTTTCAAAACCGACTTGTTTTTGTTTGTTTTCTTGAAGGGGGGGGGGGGGGGAGGCTATTTACATGCGAGGAGCAGCAGGTTTGTTTTTTTTCTACTGTGGTGGCATTCTTTGGTGAACTTTTTTTTAAATGCTTATGTCTGCTTTCCAATTAGTGGACATCATCATCTTAACAATATCTAGAGTTGTCTTAACATCTAGCCACGGCGCACTCTTTACATCCAGCCACGGCGCACTGGATATGTGTGTTGGGATGCTGAAGATTAGCGCTAGCTCTGACGTTGCCGAATCGAAAGCCGACGGTAAGACCAGCACGAGGGCTCAGTATAGTTCACTGGTTATGAAGGCAACGTCTGCTCAATGATTGTGGCTTGCTTGCCTCGTGTTCGAAATGAAGGTGACAGAAAAAAAGACACAGGAAAGTCTTAAATGTTTGTGCTGTGCCATCCAGGCAGACGAAAGCAGTTTTGATGATCAAAAGAGAAACTCTCAGAGACACTAAATAGTGGATGTTTATCTCTGTCTTTTATCTGGTGCTTTTAAATCTTTCAACGGTACAATTGCAGCGAGTTCACAATGTTTCGGGCCTTTAAACAAACTGAAAAAAAGTTTCAATGGATGCCGGCGGTGATAAGCATACACGTGTGTGATAGCGGAAGCTTTCAGGTTTTCCATACTCTTATTTTTTTATTCGTCCGAAGAGCTGCATGGTTCTGGTAATTTGGTTTTTTGTACAGGGAACTTTTTGCATAAATGGCTACAGCACTAAAACATTGTTCCTAATGCTGTGACAGTTCATGGCTGTCAACTTTGAAGGAAGCACACAGCCACGTGTTCCAAAAAAACAAAAGGTTAGGAGTTCTCAATGCAGCTATGACACTGTTTGATTGTTCTTTTGCTACATAATATTTATATTATAAAATTAAATGTATGCAATAAAGCACAGAACAATAGCCACAAGTACGCTAAAACCAAAACCGACCGAAGTGAAACCATTTAATGGCGGAAGTACACTATGCGCCAGTCAGGGAACTACTAAGATGAAAAGGTGTATGGTGTAAACCTCAGATATTCTCTTTGTCGCTTTATAAATATATTCAGAAACAGCAAGGTGTCCTCCTTTTCACATTCCACAGTGACCTGAATGGCTGGCTCGATAGAGTATAGGTGTGCCAGAAAGTTAGTAATGTTTGAAGTATTCAAAATATGAAAGCAATCATTCACATTTGTAAATAGTCACACCTGAAGAAGTCAATTCGATTTTTGAAATGTTGGGACCGTGGAACTTGGGGTCTTTTGTTGATGACTTCTTAATTTTCCTGGCTTTAACCGTACCAGAGGGGCTTCTGTTAAATTTGTTTATGTTCAAACAGAAAGACACTCAGGCTTACCTCTTACAGTTCCCATTTGTCTTCTGGCTGTGGAATCCAGTGGTGGCTTGCTTGTAGGGAGCTCAGTGCGTGGCACCACAACAACCTAAATGCAAAGATAAAAAAAAAAGCTTGTGCTCAAGCACAGAAAGTTTCCACAGAAAGCAATTTTTTTACTGCAGGACAAAACAATGTTTATATTGGCAGCTCTTCAGTCATGTTCTTGTAGTAACCACTTGATTGCAGTCACATTTTTTATTAGAAATTCTTTGCAGGAATAACAAAAGGGACTTTTTTTATGCTTACATGGCGGGTAAATTAATTATGCGAGTATGTTACGTGCACAAGTAAAGTCGGTATTTGCAAACAGCAATGACTACACATAGTTATGAGTAGTGTCACTCAAAAAGAATGAAGAAAGGAATGCAATAGGCAAGTATATGAACACATGTCTTCACTCTTTTGGTGTCAGCTGCTGCTTTTAAATGAAAATGCTTGAGTCTGTTTCTTTCTTTTTTCAACATGTATTGAAATAATCTTTTGAAAGTTCCAGTCTGGTAAGCTACTTTAAAACTATGTCCCTTGCCTGGCCCAAGCATTTTGCCCGCTTTTCAAGAGGGAGCTTCTTTTGCAGCATCCATTATACAGATCAGAGACGTGCAAAGTGTGTGTTGTGACCCCTCAAACGGTCGCGGGCTATTGTACGAGGCCACACGGCCTTGGAGAGTTCCTGAAAAAAAATGAATATGCATAAAGCTAGCACAGAAATAACAGTCCCCTAAGAACAGTGGCTGGTAAAGCCGAGGGTAAAGTCAACGAAACCAGGCTGTGCTCTTTAATAAGCGTGTTTGGCCCAGGTTTTGGGGTCGCAGTCCTAAACAGTTAGCGCACCTCTGGAACAGATGATGATGCTATTTAAATAACCTCATCATTCTTTTGTCTTGTAGTGGAAGACAGCAGGTGTTGAATGTGGAGGCACAACTTACCAAGTGGATATCCTTTGAAGTAGTATTTGGAGATGGTATCTCCTCACCCTGACATTCCTGGAAGTATGAAATATCTCAATGTTTAGAATCCAGACAACGGGACATAAAAAATTTAGATTTCTTTATTTCAGGTTAAATTTCTTTATTCCTCTACAAATTAAAGGTAGGAGGTAGGGAAAAATCAACTATAAGTTGTTGCAGTTGCACCTCTAGGCTCCTCAAGATATATGGCTTACCCACTAAAAAAAGGAAATTAGCTGCATTACACCTGATTTACACGAACACAGAAAAATTCATTACTCGATGTGCAACAACGTGCTTCTTAGAAACAGTGCTTGTGGCTCTCTAAATTGATAGGTCATGCACAGGATAATTTATGGTCCACAATTGTCACGAATTTAGGTGATATTTATTTTTTGTTTGTTGGCACTGACTGCACTGTCCGCAGCCGTTGGTTCAATCTTTTAATCTTTAGCACACCTTTCCGCCCCACCCCAATGCGACGAGGTACTGTTTTTTGGGTGGGAAAGAGGTGTGAATTTGTCAGTCTGGTTAGGAACCACAAAAATTTTTTTATCTGTCACTCTTCAGTCTTTTGGGTTGTCATCGGGGACAATTGAATGTGGGTAATGCTCTGTCATGTGAGTGATAACCCTGACATCTGTTTGTACCTTTATGGATTGTTAGCTTCCGCCAAGGTTTTTCTCTGGAAAAGTGATTTTTGAAGTGGTACATAAGCAGAATTTCGCAAAGTAGTGGGGAGGGGAGCACCCCCATGGCTCTGCTCGTCGGTGCACTCTGCCACGCGAGTCCTTGGAATTTTTTATTTGTTTTCTTCTTTGGGCTGCGGTCCTGTTTTCCCTGTGTTTGCTGGTGGCGTGTGTCCTGTTCAGGCATGTGCATGTGTGCTGTTGACCCATCGCATAACGATGGAGAAAAGACCAGGGACGGATCCAGGACTTTGTTTCCGGGGCGGGGGGGGGGGGGGGGGTGAATTTGTAAAAATACTATTCTCCCATTCTTTCATGTCACCGGGGGGTCCACTCATGTGAAACTGCCCTCGGGGAAGGGGGGGGGCGCCTGTCGCCCCCCACCTTGAATCCTATGAAGTCTCTGGATGACATCCCCTCTTTTTCTGGCTCCTACACTGGGAATGGACCTATCGCCTGTCACCAGTCTAACCTAAACATTCTGTTCTAAGTAATTTTAGTTTATCTCGGAGTACGGCTTTTAATTTTTAATAATTTTTCCTGCTGCTTTGTGTCAAGTATAAGGTGTCATGGTGATTTGGTGTGAACTCACATGAGTTGGCCCAGCTGCCAAGCTTGCTGACTGGTCGGGAGTAGCTAGTCCTGGAGCAGCGCTGTCACCCGGAGATTCCTGAAAGTAATGAAATTATCATTCTGTGCACTTTGGGTACTATACAACAGTTGTCCAGTACATCTCTGCGATGCACTTTGTACATCCCGTGTCACAAGTGACCTTTCATAATTCACAAAGCATATATTATGCTTCACAAAATCTGCACCCAAAATGTTGAAGTTATTTTATTTCGTGTTAGTGTAACGTTTACCATGGACAAGGTAGATAGTTTTTGGTCAGCATAAATTACAAACACCTGAAAAATCTGGCATTCTTTTTTTTTTTCTGTATGGTATCCACAACCTATTTTTGCATTTATACGGCAGTTTTTTTACACATAGCCAAAATAAAGTGACAAATGTCAGAATTCAGATATTCTCACGACTAATTCGAGGCCTCAGACCACATGATGCATCATACCCACAGCTTACTCAACACTTTATTTTTGTAGTACCGAATGGTAGCACTTTTGGTTAACTTGAAATTGCGTTGTATTTTACATTAAATTCGAAATTCATTCACTGAATTTCATCCAATGCAATGATTTAAAACTACATTATTAAAAAAAATATTAAAAAGTGCCCTTTTTTATATCTTTTTTTATTACATCACCTTTTAGCGATCAAACATGTACCCAAACGCCTTGGTCATCAAAATGGTATTTTCTGCTAATTGGCTTCAGTGCAGTATGAATACTTACACATGTTAATGAATAAATACTCCCTCCTCCCCTCCTCCCTCCTCCTCCTCCTCCTCCCCCGTAGTCATAAGCACGTCATCGACCCGTTTGTTATCACAAAAAAAGGGTTTTTGAAATTTATTCAAAAACATATTGTCTGCTCAACGAGTGGTAACTTCAACGCAACACTGCTCTTCTCACGCGCTCAGTCTTTCTAAAAATGACTGATTTAGGGGTTTTGGACGACGCTCAGCATGTTTCTAATTGGAACCATATGTCTATCCTCACTAATAAAAATTAGTGAATTTTAATTAATTAGCCGACTTATAGCAACGATTAGCCACCCACATAATGTCCCCCTGGGCGTATTAACTCACTCGCGCAAACAGCATAAGTGTACCTTTCATGGCTTTTTTCTAAAACTAATCTGTAAGAATATAAAAAAAAAAAAAACGGGATATAATTGGCAAATAAATATACCCAACCTTCCGGCTTTAGCTACAAATTTAAACGTCTACGTAGTGTGCTCCGTTAACGAGGTGCAAATTTGTTGGCCCGTCCCAGCGGCTGGGACGAGCCGACGTTCGAGTGGCGAGCAAAGAGCAGGCAAATATTAATTCATGCCGCGCACCAATGTCGGCTGGCGTTCATCGAGATTGTGGTTAAGTCCAAGTTGCATTTAATGAGATATATTTGGTAGACTTACCTCTAGTCTTGGGCGCTTTGCTTGGCGTGGTGTGACCTGCTGCGGGAAGTTCGTCGGTACAACACTACGCCTCAACCGAGGTACCATTTTAACCCCCAACGCTCTAGATACGCTTGGACTGACCTCATAATCTTCGTCGACAAAGTGTCGGGAACAAATAAAGGACTTAGGTCCAAAGCCTTCGAGAAGTCGTTCAGGAATTGCAGCTAGCCAGGCCGCCTTCTCTGGCACAGATTTTGGGAACCTGTGCAGCAGCGTGCTTTCGGTTGCGATTCCGCCGGGGCATCCTTTCACGCAGCACCGGCGCGACATGGTCCCTCACGTCGCCGACACGAGTCCACTACGCGTCCTGTTCAACCTCACAAACTTTGGAACAATTTGGGATCTCAAAGAATTTGAGATCCCTGAAACTTCGAACTCGAAAGTACAGCGTCGTCTGCTTGCAGCGAAAGGCGACACGCACGGAGAAGGGAGAAGGAGGATGCGCGATGCGCGGATCCCGGGGGCAACGCCACTTCCGGTTGGGGCGGTTTCGGAGGCAGGAGAAAAACTCGAGTCACAGGTCGCCTCGATTTTTGACGTCACTCCTCTGGCCCGTAGAGCGCGGGAACTTCAAAATCGGCTTTTGGATTTTGTTTTTTTACTTCACAAATACTGAGTCCCCAGGCTTCAAATTCTGAGGATAATGTGTAAACACGGTTTTTAATCGTTTCAGATAATAAAAAAAAATATGATTTTGACCTGTCAGTGCCCCTTTAAACCCAGCAGAACCAATCAAGAGGCAATGCGCGGAAATATTTGTGGCTCCTCCCACCCTATAAACGTTACACTCGGCAAGTGGCTCTTGAGAATGATTGCCAGATGTGTTCTCTCTAGGCAGGGCCGTGCTCTGGGGTAGGCTATGTACAATGCTTTCTCGAAACGAACAATTTTAAGTGAAACAAATGATGCATGCATCTGCACCAAGTGGGACACGCATTTTGGCAGTTGTTAAGTTGAGTGGTTGAGGTATGTGCCTGGTTGTAATTTGAAAGAAAAAAATGTGGATTAGGCAATTGTCATTGTGCCGCTATCTGAAAAGCGAAGTGGCAAGCAAAAACAAAAAATAGAGCGCATACAGATGCACAAACAAGAAGGGACCCTTAGCAATTCAGCCACCGTAAAACATTTTCTGTTGTTAAGCCAAATATCGTGGCTTCAAAACACCCTAGTGCCACCCAGAAAGTACAGTCGTTCAGTATAATCCCCTCCATCAAAATATTGGTTTTTAACGACCTGAAAAAAAGAAAGCAAAGCCAATCAACCGCAAGTTCAGAAGTGATTTTGCCTGGCTCCTCGGGCATGTATTAGTGCGTGACGACACCTCTGGACTGGCACTTGATTGGCTGTGGAGGCCCCTAGCCTTCCGTTGTGTGGTTCGACACGAGATGAAGCGAAGTATGGTTGGCGCTGGAAAAAGTAAATTGACCCTGTAGAGGAAAAGCCCTTTGAAGAAGCCGACGAGAGGCAACTGTCCCAGGCCAAATTGATTTACGACCAAAGTGGTTGTTTGACACGCCAGCAACAACACAAGAAAAGCGAAAAATGCCTCTTTTCTGGGTGCCTTCTGTTAACCTACAAGGGAGAAAGGGCTACCCGAGCGAGGGCCCCCCCACGGTCCCGCCCTGAGAGCCAAGCGAAAACCTCCCTCCCGCCTTCTTCAGGTGTGGCCCTGGGCTCCAGCCTTTTTAGCCCCTCCCTTAAAGGGATACTTCAACAATATTTGAAATATTCCCGTCGTGTTCAAAAATAGGTTGAATATGATCCACAATATCCGTAAATGGCAATCTCACGTTGGTATTTTGAGCCTGGTGGCTGTATTTTTCGTTATAAACGGCCCACTCTGGCAAGCGCTCGGAAAAGGCCTAGTGGAGACCACGTGACGTCCAACGCAATCGTGACGTAGGTCGTCTCAAGACGAGCGAAGCTACGGCGAGGCTGATGTCGAGAGGATGGCCTAGTCGTTCCAGCCACCGAAGCGGCTGCTTTTGTACGAATTTTGAGCGACGGGTTAATCTTCTATAATCTTGTAGGGGGACAATAGCGACTTCTGTGACACACAAAAGGCATTCTCGGGAAAAAGGGAGTTCCTCCTTCCCCTCTTCTCTCGTCGTGGCCGGAGGCGAGACGACCTCCGTCACTCGCCAAGCTCACTACCCCTCCTCTAGTTCACGGCCACTAAAGCAACCAAGGACGTCATGAAGGAGGTTATTTTTTGCTTGTTTTTGTAGTTTTAATTTGCCTATAACTTTTAAACTAAAGCGAAATTCGAAAAAAGAAAGGTTTCGTTAAGTTACTTCGTTCAGTGCGTTCAGATTCGGTGCAAATTAAAAACCAGTAAAAAAGTCCTTGCAGGACCCCTTTAATGCAGGGCCGTCAAGAGCAAATCGGGTGAAAATATGGAATTACTAACTTTCGGTGTACAATCAAGAAAAGTTGAAAAAATTGCCATTTTTAGGTTGTGTCTCTTCCAAGCTTTGTATGATGGCAAGGGGCAACGAAGCAAAGATTACTGTACTCCCCAGGCAGTAACGTTCACTTATATCCCTTTCGCCATAGCTAACTAGCCGCATTTACGCGGAGGTCATCATTGATCCCAACACTACTATTATCTCTCGGTGTTCAAAAGAATATAGCAAATCGAGCCAAAAATAGGGGTGGGCTATCTTTCGGGAGTTGTAAACATTACATTGCATCGTCTAGGGTTGTAAACTGTTAAAACTACCGAGGAGTTCAAAACCGTTTTGAAGGAGTTCAAAAACTCCGCTGCGCGCGTCGGGGATGCACGACGCAGATGTCCTGGTTGAGCGGTTGAGCCCATGGTCGAGCCGCTCCATAAACCACGGTGCGATTTATGGAGCGGGCTGCAGAGTTGGCAGTGTTGCATCAAACCTAGCCGATCGCGGCGTATTCGGCGCTCTGTGTGGCTACACTGGGCTGCAGATCCGCGCCCTAGCCGTCACGATCCAATCCAACGGGGGGGGGGGGGGGGGGGGGGGGGAGGGAGGGAAGAGAAGAGAAGAGAAAGGGAGGGGGGAAGGGAGAGGGGAGAAGGAGAAAAAGAGAAGAGCTCGGGCAGCTCGGGGATGGATATTGGCGGAGAAGGCAGAGGGAGAAGGCAGGCAGAGAACGGTTGTGGCGAGCAGTGGGGTCGGCGGGGTTGTCGAGTAGCCGTAGCGGTAGTCGGCGGTAGTTGCCGTTTTACGTTTAAATAGTGAGTAGCCACGTGGCGGGAAGGCCGTAAACGAGACAGCCCGACACATTGTGCTGCACCGAAGCCACGGGGGCTGCGGCAACGACGTCAGTCGGCTGGGGGAGGTGTCAAGTGATCCTCTGTAGTGTCTCTCAAAAAGAAAAGTGATGGAGTAGGCAGAGTGCCACTAGTGCTACGAGGAAAACAGATACCCTCGAATGAGCTACGGACCACGGACCCTACCGAGAGCGAGCGCGGATTAGAGTGATAAGCTTCGCGTTTCGTAGTACTTTTCTTTTCCCTTTTTTGTTCTTTTTCCGGCACCTCCTTCTCTCATCACTTTTCCGCATTCGTCGGTGCTGGAGGCAGTGGCGGCACGATCGCACGGTCAGCGGAGCATTTGAGAGCTGCGCCACTTGTTGAATGCGCTCGTTGTCCTCGTTTAAACTCGGTGCAAATTCAGTCTGGCGTCGCGTGCTTAAGGACATTTTTCTCCCTTCGCGCGAAGTGTTCCGTCAATGTCCAAGTTGCTCTTCGCCCGACGCCTTCTTGCGGTCTGCTCGAAATGGGAATCTCTTTCCTCGTGTCGGCAGTGGTCCAATATCGGCAGTGCGGCGGACCGAGAGCTCATCGCTTGTCAGAGTCGGATTTTGCCGGTAAGTGCATGCTGGACATTTTGCGAAGGTTTGAACGTCGGAACTTTGTGCCACTGTGAACCTTCTTGATATGGTTTAACGAAGTTCGCTCTGCGCAACTTCATTCAATTGCTGCTATTTCCCCGTGGCATTGCCGTCAGAACCAGTTTTCTTAAGATGACAGGCTTCTCAAGTAGGAAAAGGTGAAGGAGATAGCTTGCTCAATCTCTCTCCAAGTAACTTCAAAGTTCCGTCTCGATTTTTCTGTTTTTATATATAAATCGTTGGTGAGATTTTGATTAAGAAGCTATGGATCCTAGCATGTCTGTATTTTGCTCAAGTTTCGGGAGAGAACGCCACCCCCCTCATTTCCTTAGGTCCCAGAAAATATGTCCAACTTAAAATCTTCACATAGTTGTCAGGAATTTACATCTGTGAACTTCATAAGTTACACATCTAAAAGAAAAGTAATTAAAATAGGTCTGTTTTCATTATTATTAGGGCTGGACGTCAGTGATAAGTCTTATCCAGATTAATTGCCACACTTTAATCAATTAATTGTAAAAAAAAAAATTAAATGTTTTGCCTCTGCTGAGTATGTCATAAATGGCACAGTACAAATTTGGATTTTAAATCAACCTTGATGTGTGGTTGAAGTCCCCCACACGCAGATTATTACTTCATCTGGAAGGGCAGAGAGGTTTGTTGATATTCTCTGGAAATGGCGAACTCCTCCGATTCTTCACAATAGTCTCTGCTGCGCTAAATGGACACTGACACGATATTGAAGTGCCATTTGTTTAGAGTTACAATTCTTGCCGCTACAGTTCACTTTAGGTAAAAATTTCTTCTAAAGCTTTCCTTCATACAGGTGTACTCAGCCACATCTGCGTGGTAAAAGCGTTGCATTTTGACTTTTCTTTTTTGTTTGCCAAAACTTAATTGATATACCGGTTTAAAAAAATTAATCACGGTTAAAGCATTAATGGGTTAATTGGTTAGGTAAATCGACCAGATGCCCAGCCGTAATTATTATCACTATCGTCGTCATCATTTAACTTTCTTGAGGGCGCAATCAGGAAGAATGTTGACTGAGACCGACAAGATAGTCGGGGGAATCGATTTTCAGCGGGGCATAATTATTCGTTTCCAAAGAGGTGCTTTTCAAAGAAGTTGAGAAACCTCAGGTTTTGTCTATGATCCCTAGTTGAAAGCAATGTTGATTGATACGTTGCTCTCACTTATCCTCAAAGATAAATTTACCCTTTTACTAAGTATTTACGAACACCATTCTCAACCAAAAGTTATATCAGTTTGGTACCTTTTAAATGAGAACGTTTGATAATTGTACAGCACGGTGGATCCCGTGTGTAAATATTGCTGTTATCTCTCCAATACCCTTTCACCTCCTGATATCACTGATCATGAAGGCAATCACACTAAGTGAAGCAAGCATGTCATTGCACAGAGGGGGCTCTTTTTTGTGATAGAGGAGATTATGCTAGCATGAATGAAACTTCCTTTTTGTTTCTGAAGTTTGTTGAACCAGAAATTGACCAGGGATCAGCATTTTCAAGGAAGAATTGTAAGAGCTGCCCCCTGAGTGTCCGAACTCTGTATTACAGCTGTGTATGACCAAATAAATTTGATAAGAGGTTGATAAAAAATACAGTTTTGTTGGGTATGTCAAAGATATTGTTTGTGTGGAAGCAGTTATCACATTTTCTTTATTAGCGCATAGCTGCATGCAAGAATGACTGGGAAAATATTTGTCTGTAAATACCATAACAGGTAAAGTGATGCATTAGAAAATGGGCCCTTTTCTTTTTGTACTGTTTTACATATTTTTTGCATATCTGCCTTGTAAGGACACGCAAACCTTTCAAAAACATCCTGCTAGTGTGCTCTCCAGTAAATTTCATTTAGGAGGACTATAAAACGGGTCTCTTGAGGCAAAGTTCATTATCTCAGATGAAAATATCTAGCAAGCATACAAAGAAAGAAAATATCTAGCACAAGCATAAACTAGAGACAATTTCTAAGCTTAAAAGCGTTTAATTCTCCCTGCGGTCGTTATCGCACCGCATGCGTCCAATGGCATTGCATAGTTCCAAGTTCACCAAAAAGTGGAAATCTGTCGTCTCTCTCTCAAAAAAAAAAAAAACTGTCACTGAAGCTTTACATACATTTCCTGCGGGGCAGAAACTTTTGTCTCCTTCTCTCCCCAATGGAGGGAAAGGGTCTGGGACAAAAAAGGGAGAGCAAGCATGGAGAGCACAAAGTTCTGTGTCACCGACTTCCTGGTCATGTTTACGCCTGTTTATTTAGAAAAGCAAGATGGTCCTTGTGGCATTTCATCTAACTCCTTTCCTTTTTCTTTGTTTTTCTTTATCAAGGGACCTGAACGGATACGAGTGTCTGCTATTGAATCGTCCAAGGACGAGTGCAAGAGCAAAGTGACAACAGTCTACGAGGCCATCTTGCTAGGGAGGACACTGAATGGTAAATAAAACGTGACTGCCCGGAAACATCCTTTCATCTTATTTACGAGCAGAACTGCACCTAAGTGTCCTTTATGCAATGTCTGTGACAGCCATAGCACTTTAGTCTTGTCTCAGTGTTGGTCTTCGAAACGCGAGACTAGAATTTTTCTTTTTCTCAGCTGGTTCTGTTCTATTCGTGGCCTGTGACGCGCGTCTGGATTTATCTTGAAGCAAAGCAGCCAGCAGCCTGATAGGCGTATGGTAGATTTCTCGAGATGTTTAGGGTACTGGCCACTTGCGTGCCAGGTTTGAGGCATGTGTGAACGGAAGAACGCAGGTTATGCACAAAAGAGGGGAATAGAGAAAATCGACCTACGAGAAAATTAAAAAAAAAAATATTGGTGGGATGTTGCCTCAAGGAGTAGATAACATTTGATAAGGCCTTCGCTAACTTGCTTTACTTACCCAAGTAATAAACCTAAAAAATGCATTACATTTACATTTAATTTATGTTACCTCGAAATATGTACGATAGTTTGGCTTATTAGACAATTTACTTAATATGGTCAATCCAGCACCAGTACTTTAATAAAAGTTCCTTCCACTTTTTTGCATCTTAGCAGTGCAAATGCTGGAGAGGGGGAAACCTCCTCCAGCATTCAGTCTGCTAAAGTGGAGAGAGGAGGGAGGAGGAGCTTCCCCCTGAACTCCTAACCTGTCACCTTCTGTAGTTCTTGGAAATGGACTTATTGGCCTCCTGATTTCTGTATTATTTCTGAGTAACCTTTTCTTTTACTTCTCTTTACTATTTGTAGTAGTGATCTTGTAAACTAAATTATAAAATAATCGTAATGAACATGTGATTGTCTTTTTCTTTTTTTGCAGATAACAAGAAAGCGTTTGGATACTGGAGCCAAGGACTCACTGAGCTACGCTGGATCAGTTACGATGAGGTGTGCATTGTTCCTTCGGCGCAAACAGGAAGTCCAGTCGACTGCGGGAGGGGGACATTCTAGCAAGCAGTCCTATTAGAACTAAGCTGTGGTGAGCAATGAATGGATAGATCAACATTTGACTTCCCCCTACGAGTTCGGCAACGACTGGCGCCATCTAGCCCCCGCAACTTAAATCTTAACCTGCTAAAAGGTTGCCATAATTATGAAGAACCCCTAGACTGAGGCGACGTAGGGAACAGCGGAAACACGGGACTTGTGTGTTTTTGCTCTCTTTTATTTTACCTTAGTCTCGGAATTCTTTGCAACAACGTTAAATTTACACCAGCTCGTTCGTGCACTTACATTTTTGTTTGCTCAAGGTGGCCAACTTCTTTTTTAGTGGCTCGACTTGTGACAGGTGGCAAACTGCTGCAGGAAACTATACTCCGTTTCACCTTATGTTGTACCGCAGACAAGGCTACAAGCGCGAGCTCATAGCGTTGGGAGCTACTTTTAACGCACAAGAGCTTGTGCTGCCAAGATGTGCCCTGAGCAAGGAGCTCGCGCTTGTAGCCTTTCCTGCGGTGGTACATTATAAGGTGAAACAGAGTATAGTTAAAAATGCTGGTCCACCTAATGTGCTTGTTATCGTGCAGCAAACAACTAATTCGAAAAATTAATTGCAAAGGTAGTTTGAGCCAACATTTCACCAAGAAGCTTGGCTTAATCTCTGAAACAGCACGAAATAAGAAAAAAAAACAGCTGTACAGATTATTTTTATTTTATTTTTTGGCTAGAAAGCTTTTATAAGAAAACTCACCTCTCTACTCGTGTGGGTCTCGAATCCTCGAATTAGTGATTCCTGACGGTTGTTAATTGGGATGCCGCTAATTTGGCATTGTATGATGGCCCAGCTGTTGGAGAAATGCCAGCAGTTTGGTTCGGGCCTCCTTGGTCTGGGACAGGAGCCCGAAAAGAGCATCGTCACTGTGAACTGCCGAGGAAGTCTCGAGGTAAGTGTCGACCCCGCCTTCCTTTGTAGCAGTTAAGGAGTTTAACAGTTGACCCATTCATTGGGTCGAAACTCCTCATACAATACAGGTGTGCTCTCAAGCGCTATCCAGGCGTAATTTTTTGTTATAAATAATTTAGTGAACAGAGTTTAGTGAAACTTTTTGCAAAGATGCCTTTGGGTGGTGCATTTATCATATTCAAATTTCATGAGTGTAAGTTTTAGAGGAAATATATTTAAACCTAAAAACACCCGTCTTTTTTTTTTTTTGCAGATAGGAAGGGAATTGTTCAAAACCGTCTGGTTTAGGCTGTTTTCACTTGCATCTGCTGGATGCCAGCTTTCATGTTTTTGCTTTACGTTGTGCCGTTCGTGAGTGGCTGCGTGATCCATACGGTTTATGCCAGTTTTCTTCCGTGTGCATGAGAAAACACAGATTTATTTCATAGTTAACATTTTTTTCTTGATGATAAATGCACTACCTAAGGCACCTGTGTGAAAAGTTTCATTGCAATCAGTTAATTGGTTTATTTATGCAGATTTCTTTACGACTGAATGGCGCTCGAGAACACCCTGTAGGTCGAAGCTAATCATACAGCTGATACAAGGCCAGATAAGGAGTAATAAGGTGTGAATTTCTGAGCGATAACAACCCAAAAAAGGAGTACAGTCAGAGCTGTCTTTAGTCAAGTAAATTTTATATCAGTATTGTTTTTTTATTGATTAAAATCTTGAGCTATGATGTTTGCACAGCTCTACTTTCATATGCTGCTGTGCCATGCTCTCTGTTCGTGTTTTTTTTTAGAAAAGTTTACAGACCCTTTCAAACATGCCTGCTGTGTAGCAAGAATATCTTAAAATGACGCTCATTTTTGACCTTGGCTCGCATCGAGCCTGGCTGGTACGTCAGGTTTGGTGGCATCGCAGTATGGTGGTTTCTTTATAGTAACTCTGCTGGTAACGTGGACCAGCAGAGTTACGATAAAGAAACTACCATATTGCAATGCCACCAAACCCGATTTTGTTTTTGTCGTATTCTTTTAATAAAGTGCGTTGGATAGCAATGCAGAGGCAGGTGACAAGGCAGCGACATGCAGACGTAGCAATCAAAAACTTGTTCACCAAGTCCTGTCCCCGCCCCTCCCTTGTAATTCTCAGCAGGTACACTTACAAAGCAGAGGGCCCAGTATGGGGCGGTAATAAAAATAATATGTGCCATATTGGCACGAATGCAGTGCACACTTGTTTGTTTTAGGAATTCGGCTCCTCGAAATGCTCGACGCGTTGTTTGCAAGAGCGTCGCTCCGGCGACCTTGGGGAGAGGAGGGGGCTAGCCGCGTGGAGAGGGAAAGTGCACCGTTGCGTTGCGTGGTCAGCGAGGCGTAGAACGAGCGAAAAGGAAGGAACGGGAAAACCTTATTCTTTTTTGTTTGCATATGGGCTGGTCGTTTGGATGCGCCTGGTTAATTCGTCGCCTCTTAAATCCCGTGCGATCGTTGAATGCATGCATGCACGCACATACACCAAGGCATGGAGTTGATGAGGCATGCAGTGAGAGTGGACATAGCGCGTTCAATTCAGTTGAGATCGTTTTACAGCGATAGCTGCCATGGGCTTTTCCCACCACTGGAAATGACGTCCATTCTTGATGTTGTAGTTGGCTACGTAGGGTTTCCGTCGTCGACGTTGCCAAATCCTTGAAAACTATTGCCTGCTGCCCGTGGTAATCGAACCTGGGTCCGCTGGAGATGTTACCACTGGGTGATGCCACAGCATTGACAACTTGCTTTAAATTTGAGGGGGAGAGGAGGGACAGCTGTTTTACTCAAAGTCCGTTGCGTGCACTCTCCAGAAAAAGAAAAAAAAAATCGGATGACGAAATGGCGCCGTAGCACTGTCAATGCCAAGTGCTCGAGTCAGGAGACGTGGTTTCGCGCGCTCCGGAACAAAAAAAAAAACAGGCGTTTGGAACGAAACAAATGTCTGTTTTGTCCAGAACACATTTGTTCACACACTCCACGGTGCGCGAACGCAACGCCGGTTTCCAAAGACTTTGCCGAGACGTGTCGCAGCTGTTGGTGCGATTGTACTGTGAATGAACTCGGGGCAGCTCAGTTATTTTTTTTTACCCAGCTTAAGTTGGCTTGTTGTTCAAATTACGCCTCCTCCCATCTGGTTTCCAGCAATGTTGAACAGATGAGAGGGCTTAGAACTCGGCAATTTCTGCAATGAAATGCAAGAGTTGGCACAGAACGTTTTGAACAGCGTAGCTTGTACTCCAATTTTCGCAGAAAGTCTCTATATAATCCAGTGGCACGGAACAGTAGGCTACAGCAGTGGCTATGCGCAAAACAATAGCCCATTGCTTATGTCTTCTTTTTCTTCTTTTCTGCTGATTAATTTGAATGAATGGAAATGGCTCGCTGACGGTCGGGGTTCCTGTGCTAGCATCATAATTATATTTTTTTTAAAGTTTGATACCCCTAAAAAGTCAGAGTTTACGGCAACATTATATTTATGCTTCTAGTACCAATTTCATCTCCACTCAATATTGTTGGGGGCTATACTTTTTGTCGTCCCTGAGCGGAAGCAAATCATACGTTCGCTTTAATCTCGAACCCTATTGGGGACCTGCACCGTAAACTTCGTCGTCCTGTCGGATGGAACGGCACTCTGAGCTGGAAACGTTTACAATATTTACAACGAATGTAGCTTCATGTGGCACGATTTTCTAAAAGACTGCACGTGTATTTCCCTCCCCTGCAGTATGCGGTGTCTCACTACTCGTTGTCAATGTTCTCGATGACATCCTGTCCGATCACCGCAAACGCCGACAAGGATGCCATTGCGTTTGTGCTGGGACAAGGTTCGTAACTCTGATATTATTTTTGAGCAAATGCCAATCAGCTTTTCAGGGTGCCTTTGAAAGAAAAGAAAAACAAAACAGCAGGCAAACAGGCAACTACGTTGCAAGCACTTGCTCTATGTTGAAAGGCTCTCAGTGATGATACAACATTAGACGAGCACCAGACTGCTGAGACTGGTGCGTACAAGGAGCTTTCTGGAACGTGCACTAGGATTTGGCGCAATTACGGTGAACAGGACTATCTACGACATTTTACGAGCGTAGACTGCCTCGTCCTCGGCCAGCAAGCTTGGGACCACTCGTGACTCTGCAACAGCAATAACACTTTTTGTTCTTAGCGCCGATGCCCATTGAGAATGTAGGGTTGATTTGGATATAACCCTGAGTTGAGATGCTGAATGCTGCTCTAACCATTCTTTCTTATTAAAGTGTTTTTCTTTATCACCTATCAATGTTCTGCTCTAAAGTAGTTAATCGGGCCAGTTGGTTCATAGCTTAAAAAGTACAAAAGCGCCGAGAACAAGGTCCTAGCCTACATTCCGTTGTTTCAGAGAATTATTTTCAACAGTGGTGTGTTTTGGTCATAACAACAGTGCAAAGGCAATAACACACACACACACGCACACGCGCGCGCGCGCGGCACTGATTTGCAACTTAATTGTATTTTTGGGTTCTTCTGGGCGAGGAACGAGGTTTGCAAAACTGCTTTGTTTTCTTCGTGTTTGTGAGGGGTGCAGCAATGTTTGTTGCACCTTTTGCGAAGACAAAGAATACAGAACAATTTGCAATCCTTGTTCGTAGCGCAGAGGAACCCGAAATTACAGTTGAGTTGTAAGCCAGTGCTGTGTGTCTCTTGGGTGTGTGTCTTTGGGTGTGTGTTGTCTTTGCACTGTTGTTGTTATGATGTTTCATCAACTTGCCCAAGTTGCTATCCTCACAAGTACTTCAGTCATTTGTTTAGAACATTTATTACAAAAACTGCAACCATCTTTTTTTTTTTCTTTTTTTTTTTTTGTTACAGTGGAGAGCTCAGTGATGGTTTGTGACACGATTGAAAAGGCAGAGTTTCTTCTCAGCTGCCGAGATAAGTTTCCGTCGCTCCGCATGCTCATCTTGGTCGAAGACCCGACGCGGGACATCGTTTCTGCCTGTCGTTCGAAAGGTCTGGAAGTCCTTAGCTGGAAAGAGTGCCTGGTGAGTTCCCCAGTTTCGTCGGCAACCTTTATTCGGGTGTCAGATGAAAATCTCCACTAAACAGTATAGATCTTTTACGACACAATCAATAGTTTATTTATTTCACATCCGACACTGATGTGGGCTGTACAGGCAAAAAGTCCAAATGTTTACTTGATCATGCAAGTGGCACATGGCGACGAACCAAAAGCAACAAAGAAAAAGACATACAGTAATATCCCAAGAGATAGCCCACCCCCCGAAATACAACCCACCCCTATTCTTGGCATGACTTGCTATTCAAAGGGCAACTCCGCTTCATTTTTGGTTTTGAAAAGCTGCGCAGTCCTCTTCAGTATTGCCTAGGAAGGCCACACGTCAAATATTACGACGCAGTTCTGTCTAAATGTTTCTTAAACGGTGCGGCAAACTTTGCAACTTGCCAAGTTGCCGAAATCGGCTGACTCGAGCGGGCGAATTCAGGCGCAACCAAAAGCGCAGTCAAGGCTACGAAGTGGGCGGAGCCAGCATTGAGCTAAACGTCATCACCGTTGCCCCCTTTGCTTGTTTTTACTTCTCTGTGCGAGCGTAGCGGATGACGTCAGCAACGTTTCCTCTCGGCGCTCAGCGGTGTCCACGTGATTGGCGTAACGTGCCTGCGCAGCGCGCCTCTTGGGAGCCGTACGGCCGACCCGCCGTGATTCCGCCGTTACCGCAGTCTCCCACGTCACAGCCTCCGTCGTCGTCTCACCGTTCGTGACTACTGTCTTTCGGGGTTTCGTCCACACTACGGACACTACGTGCGCAGACATATGCCGCAGTAGTGCAGACGTCGTCTAATGTCGTAGACGCGAAAATCTGGCGAAAAGTGCAGACGACACTCGCGGTGCACGCTCACCCCACTCCCGCTTGTCGTTGCGTAGAGGATCACGTGACATCTCGTACCACGTGATATGGCCATGTTCTTGGCGGCCCGAGGCCAATGTTGCCGGACGGTGCCGAAGTTTCAGCTAAAAATTATATTTAAAAATATATATGCCATTTTTCGCGAAGCAAACAATGTGGTGTCTTTTACTAGGGCTTTTTAATGCAAAATAACTCATTATCTCAAAAGCATCAAAATTGAGCGGAGTTGCCCTTTAAAAAAAAAGAAATGCTGAAAGATAGCACGCTTTTAGTAATTTCATGGCCTGGCCAATGGTGACGTCAGTAGAAATGGAGTTACTTGGCCGCGACGGGAGATGAGTGAAAGTTGCCGTCTGGGAAGGACAGTGGTGTTTGGTTCGTTGCCCCTCCCTGCACAATCACAAGTTTCGCAAATCACAAAATCTAAAACTAGCATTTCTTTTTTTTTTTTTTTACATGATCGCACACTGAAAGTTGGCCCACTCCTTATTTTTACCCGATTTGCTTTCGATTTTAGGTGGGCTCTCTAGGGGTATTACGGCGTATAAATATTACACCTTACTGGAGATCACTTTTCTTGTAGGAAGAAAAGCTAATTGGGCTTTATTGTGGTTTAGATTGTATTCAGTTTTTATTACCGTAGCTGACATTGGTAGGCAGTGCTGCCAGTACATCATTTGACTATAGAATTTATCTCCATGCGTGCTGTGGTTTGAGTGTCCCATGTTTTGAACACGAATACTCTTTGTATTTGAGAACAGTTGTATTAGCGAAAGACATGAGAACCTGCAGTGACTGAAAATACAAAGATGAAGGAGAGGTAGACTACTGCTGTGCTGGCTCTCAATCGAAGTTTTTTTTTGATTACTGTCAGTAAAAAGTCAGAAAAACTACAAAACAACATGGCACTTCTAATAAGCAAACTAAATCCCACTGAATTCGAGCCCGTATGGCACACCCAATAAAACTTAATCATACAATATAAGCAGATGGTGGCCATTGTCTAATGCATAGAAATAGCATTTCATAGACAGCCCCCACAGAAAACACAGCAAACTAGCCCTGATGCTTTGTGCCATGCTTGTGAAATTTGAAGTAGGACTTGTTACTCTGACAGGCATCATATTTTCCAAACGATAGTCCAGTGTATAGACGACAAAGATAAATTTTGCTTGCAAAAACAAAAATAGTTCTCTTAGACAGTCTATCTCTGGTGCCTTGTGCTCACACGGAGAATTCTCCTACACAGCGCACATTGACAAATACCTGGCGTATTAGCTCAAGAAGAAGATTGTACCATACATAAAATGTCTCATTCACTCAAGTCTGGTGATAACGCACAACCTCGAGAAACAATTCCTCGTATAGTCCGCACCGCAAACATTTTAACTCTTAAACACGTAGAGTAGTCTACAAAATACACTAAGCTAACGATATGTCTGTTCCTGCGTTAGCGTGCACACGTTCTGTCTGGCATACAGTGTGTACATGAAAACCTTGAATCTGCAGAAGTGTGACCATGCTACCCGACTTTCCAGGAACGTGGCAAGAAGGCCGTCCGGGAACCCATCGTAAGATTCTTGTCTCTCCTCTCTGCAACAACTTCAACGCGGCGTGCCCTTCGTAATATCTCAGCCAGTCGGTGTATGTAGACCCGCGTCGATTCATTACATTCCTACCCCACAGGCCCCGTGGCGTACGATCATTGATTCACATTCCGGAGACTATCGTCTAAAATGGACTTCTTTCCTGTAAGCTTCTGCGCATGCGTACACCCTCTTCCTTGGCATTGCTTTCTACTGTCACCATTTTCGGAGGGCACCGTTCCGCACTACCAACGTATTCGGCACCAACCTTTGCACATATTTTGTCTTTTTCTTTTCTTTGACTCTTTTTTGGGTGTTGCTCGTATGGGCAATAAGAAGCAATGGAAACCAATACAACGGCCCTATGCCAAAGTATTGGTTAGGTTTTGACTGGCAGGAGTATGTAGGGCTGCCCTTCCTTTGTAGTTTGCAGGCTTGGAGCCTAAAACTTTGATACTGTTGTCTTTCTTTGCGTCATCATGGTAAATCACTCCCAAGGATGAATGGATGGACGGATGCTAGTGACTGTACCCTTTATATCGGCCAGCAACTTGCGCCCCCTAGCCTAAAAACGTTTCTGTCCCTTCCTTTGAAATTTTGTACCAGGCTCCTGTCCCCCACTGGACCGTATAACGAGGATTCCATGTTTTCGCAGTCTATTTTTTCGTGAAATTCGGAGGGTGTTTTTCAGAGTTTATTTTTCGCTGGAAACTCGGGGTTTATCTGAGTATTTTTGGTTAGATTCCCAATTCTCTGAAATTCAGTTTAATTTGACTCTGTTCCTATTTTTTTTTTTTTTTTCAAAATAAAAATATACAATGTTTTGACAAAAACATACACTAAATTCATAAAAATATCACTGATATTGAACGATATTTCTGCAAGTGCATTTGGTACTGGCATCTTTGCTACTAGCGGTATTAAGTGTCCTACGACAAATATTGAGAACAAGCGTTACTTCAATGAACGTCAGTACTTTAAAAATAACTTCAGCTACCATCCCCATCCTATGAAATCTGCAGGTTCACATGTTTCAATGTTAAAAGAATACAACCCGTCCTCCCTTTAAGAAGCCCAAATAGTATGGTCCAAACCGTAACCGGTGCAATAGCTTTTGTCGTGATCCAGAAGTACATTGGCCCATTGTACTGGATGAACCTTAACGAGATAAATAGGAAGCTCCATTTTCCCAGTAATCCAAGATAAAAAAAAATGAAAGCTGTTTACAAATCCCTGTCACGCCGAATTGGAGCGCAGCTCTTGAGGAGGAGTAGGGAAGGGTACTGAGGGGGGTCACGTCACCTGCGGGTAGTCACGTGACCTCGGGGGGGGGGGGGGGGGGGGTGTCACCTGACCCCCCCCCCGGTTACGCCGACGCCGCTCAGGCTGGAAACGGGCCCCTAAGAGCTGCGCTCTAAAAAGAATAATAATAATTTAATTGGCCTTTTTTCAGGACTACCCTGTCCTGAAAAATATAATCCTTTCTGTTTTTTTGTTTTTTTCCACCGTGATCTCGTGGAGCCTTCCAGGTATATCCAAATTGTCGAAACATTTACCGGCGAGTGTTTTTATGAGTTTATTGGATTTATCCGAAAACACGTAATCCTATGTATAACCCATTAATTTCTCACTTCCTTAGAACTTTTCCCCCAGTTTCTAACCTTTTCTTTGTGATTGTAATGCCCTCACCGTCTGTTCTTTCAGTCTTGTTTGCAGACCCCTTGTTTTTATTTGATGTGAGCAAACGGTGTGGAAGCCTTTGGCAGTAAATAATTTGGATAATTTCAACTAATGGCAGTTTGTAGGGACATCTGCTATGTCAACATCTGGTGTCAGTGAAATGTTGAGACTAGTACTGTACTCTCTGTAAAGTTGATGATCAGTATATTTCCCTAGCTAGGCGCACATGTTTATTCTACCACCACAATTAACTTATAACTCGTTCAATTTCCTTCCCTTATTTTTTTTTCATGACAGCCTCCGAAGCCAGAGATGCTGTACGCAATCGTCTACACGAGCGGAACAACAGGTCAGACATTAAAGCATAACAATAATAACCGAGTTTGAAGGTGCGTTGGAGCTGTTTGTGACCGCTTACGATGATGGATGGACAGATACAGCTGCTCTTTTACTAATTGTGCAGTGGCTTGCACCACCTAGTCAAATAAAAGCTTTCGCAGCAAAATTCAGTTTCTCTAATTTTAACGGCTATGGCACGTTTTCACGACAGGCTACCAATGTCTAGTTGGGATGTGTTAGCTGAAGCAAATATTTCAAAAGTTAATTAGTGTATTTTAGGCCCTTAATTTTTTAATAATCGCTCTACACTGCCTGCTTGACGTCCGCCACGGCAGGCAGCGCTTTTCTAAAAGATTAATTTCCTTATTTCGAGTTCCCTTTTTTATATAATTATTTTTCCCACTTCAAAAAAACTTTCTGTATGAGTACATATAAATGAAATGAGTACTGTGAAAGTTTCCTGTGTCCTCATGCTTTAAGGTTCTGGACAGGTTTTCGTGTCCAATTAATTTCATTTCATTTATATTGATAGATATAAATAAAATAAAATGAATACTGTGAAAGTTTCTTGTGTCCTTATGCTTTAAAGGGAAGCTACGGAGCTTTTTGAAAAAAATGAGTTAGAAGTGAATTCTAGTATACTTTTACCTCGTGAACCCAAATACCAAAACCATTTGCCGCGCAAGTATTGTTAAACGCGAGAAAAACGCGAAAGATAGTCGCTGTACGTGACGTCATCGACGGATCTTTTGGCTTGCCAATGCTAGGGAGGCGGGGCTTCAGCCCTGTTTTCAAATTGCTCTTATGGCTCTCCGGCGCGTCGCATTGAAATATAATTGTGATATCTGTTATTCTAAAGGCCAAATGAACACAATTCAAGCGTTTTTTCTCAAATGTAGAAGTGCCCCATCTTCCCTTTAAGGTTTTGAACAGGTATTCACAACTTTGATACTTGTCTTTCCGACTGTTTGTTTCTTGACATATCCTAAAATTTAAATTTGTATGATTAAAAAAAACATTCTTTCCAGTACTAACTTGAACTTTAGTTGTCAATTAGCTTGCCAATGGATGATTATGATAAGTTGTTCATTTATGACGTTAACGTGTTTGCTGCCATTGAGTGATTGGTTAATGAACTGGTGATCCGTTCTAGGCATGCCAAAGGGAGTACCCCTCACCCACCAAGGTCTCATCACCACGGCCCATGCTGTGAATCACCAAGCTGGGGTGAGGCATTGGTAGTTTTATTATCCACTCCGCTCTGGTGACCCTGATCGCTTTGAAGCAAAGATTATACTTTATGTTGTTGGCATCTTAGCTGCTCTGCACATTTCACCGCATTATTTTTTATATAACTTCTAGACTTTGTGTTGACTTTAGAAACTTATACAGACTGTCCTAATTGACATATACCGACCCTTAAAAAAACAAAATGTAGCACTTCATGCAAATAGTGGACCTCCCTTTCTATATCTTTCTTTGCCCCTGACAGTTTCTTTATACAAGTATGTCATTCGGTGAGAACCTCCATCTGATAACGTGCACATGACTTTGATTTCAGCCAATGAAACCAAAGCCGAATCACATCTGCTTCTCGTTTTTGCCGACGGGACACATCTACGAACATATTTACCAGGTGCGTCCACTTTTACCCTCCGCAATTGCAGTGTGTGGCCCTTGGGACCTTCTTCCTTGAGTATCACTCATAATGTGAGCTGCTTTTGACATTAGGCCCCAACATGTATTGCTCTCTCATCTTTTCCCTCAAGAGCTTTGACTCGGGATTAAGTCGAGTGTGCAGCCTTTGTGGTAGTGCCGACGCCGGGACTGAGAAGCGAGTTGTTGAAATATTGAAAATTGGACTGGTGCTTGCGTTGCATGGCTGGCAGACCACCCAGCCAGCAAACACATGAAAGATATGCAGCAAAAAAGCAGTTGTAAGAAAGAAAAAAAAAAAAAAAAAAGCAGCAAACTAAAAGAAAAAAGGTGGAGGATGGCAAAAGCAAGGGGAAGGGCACCCATACATGCACGTAGGGAGTGCAAATAGGGTTTGCTGTTGGAACAGTAGCCCTGCTCCTTTTTCCCACTTTCCCCTAACACTGCTGATGCTGCACGACTCCCCAGCCCCAAAATAAAATTAGCAAAAAAAAAAAAAGGCTTCAGCAAGTTGAGTGTATTGTTGTGCAATCGCACTTTGAACGCCTTATCTTCGTTTATCTTTTCTTTTGTCGTTATTTCTTTGCCCATATTTTTTTTTTCTTTTCATTTTTGGCTGTTTGAATTTATTGAGGTTTCTTTTTTGTTGCTTCCTTAATTTTTTCTATGGATCGAGAGCATTCTTTTGTATGTCTTGCTTTTCCGTTTTTCTTTTACAGCGGAGCTGTTAAGGGCTAGTTTCCCCAGGATCGTGTCCAGTAGCAAACAAATGTTTTCACAACACTCTGGTTGCTGCCGTTGCTCATAGATGGCCCTAGCTGTCCAGAGTGTTGCGTTTGCCGGTTGTCTGCTTGCCGCCGTCGCTCATAGATCGCGGCAACCTTTCGAGCCTCGGCAACCAGACAAATGGTTGCTGCCGTCGCTCATAGATGGCAGCAGCATTTCTTTGGAGGAAGAAGAGCGGGAGCGTAAAGAGCAGCGATGTGCGTAGCGGCGCGAATGGTTCTGTAACCGCCGCGAGGCCGCTATCGCCTAAAGTTCCACTGTGTCGTGCGCTTCAGATACCTTTGCGAAAGATGAATGGATCGCTCGCCTGGAAAGCCAGCGCCGAAAACAGAAGCTACAGCTCCGCTGCTCTTCCTTTTTCACCAAAATGGAAAGGCTGAAAGTTTTTTTTATTACTATTTTCGTGTTTTGTCGCTTACGCTGTGTGGAGGTCCTAGCCAGGTGCACATGTAAGCGCTGCGGTGTTTGCGTTTCCGCCAATTAGGCTCAACTGTATTTAGCAGCTCTTGGATGCTCTATTTGGCAAGCTCCCGTTTGTCGCAATCTTCGGTATCAGCAGAGACGCCAGGAAATTTCAACTCGAGCTTAATTTAACATATTTTTGTATATCAAATTATTTATATATCAAACTATTTTATAATGCCCTTTGAACTCAATATATCTGGGTTCGACTGTATACCTTGTGAAGCGAGGGAGGCACTTCGTTTGTTACTCGAGGATAAAGTGAAGGCTACCTGTTTCAGGTGACCCTCCTCCTGTGCGGCGCCACTCTGGGGTTCTACAGGGGCGACGTGAAGGCGCTTCTTCAGGACATGCAAGAGGTGAAGCCCACCAACCTCCCCATGGTGCCCAGGCTGCTGAACCGTGTCTACTACAAGGTGGGCTCTTTGGGGGCTTGAGAGAGGCCCCATTGTTGGCTATGGTCGTACCTCGTTGATACGGAACACTTTATCACGGATTATAGACAACGTTTTCGGAGAAGTAATTGGAAATACTCGCGTTTTTGTCCCGTTATTACAGACGTTTTGTTAGGGAAACATAGGTGTTAATCCGAAGCTTTATTTTTCCAGACCTAAGCCGGAAGCGTCTCCTAGACGAAAAGCCACTAAAAGAAGCTTGACAGGGTTTGGAATCCTGTTGCATGGGCAGCAGCTTAAAGAAACAATAACTTTAGTCTTACGTTATACATCATTAAATGACAAAATATATGAAAAAAAATCCGTGAAAGGAAGGCTGTAGCAAAGGGATAGTAAAAGAAGTGGAAAGATTGTTAGAACTAAAAAAGACGAGTCATCGCTGTACTTTGAGCCGTCGGGACAGAGCAAATGTGTAGTTGTCGCGATTCATCTGGCACTACTGTTTTTACGTTGCAAGATCTTTGTAGCTGTGCCTGAGGATTGAGTGAATTCATTTCTTAGTTGGTTGTACTTTCGCGGAGTGGAGTTTTAGATGTACTGTCGAGACCGGTTATAATGAAGTCAACGGGAATCTGAAATCACTTCGCTATATCTGTTTCTTCATTATGTCTAGACTCCATAAAAAAAGTAGCACACAAAAAATAAAAAAGGATAGCATGGCCGTTAGGGTATATGCTTATTGTGTGTGCAGAAAGCGGTCAAGGCTTTCCTGCACGCGCTCTTTGTTATATTGGAGCCAGTTTTCGCCAACTGAGAGAAGCTCCGATAGAAAGAAGATAATGCGAACTACGTATGGACCGTGTAGACAGCCGTGACGGCAAACAACATTTTTTATGTTTATGCTCACTTCGTCAAGGATGGCATGCTTTTGTTTCAAGGAGATTGCCTTCGTTTGCCCCGTCGAGGTGCCGGGACTCTCTATTGTTGAGGGGCGATGAGTCGCCAAATCGGTGCTTGAGCAAAGCTAGACTTTCGCGCAGAGAGCAACCACACCGACTAGCAATGTCGACACAGAACACGAAGCAAACAAAGAAGCGCGCAAGGCACCGAGTTTGTGCACAAGTTTGTGTTCAGTCGCTGTAGAGAGCCTAGATTTAAGATAGGGTGCAACTTCTCCATTGGGATCACATGGTTTGTGGTCCACGTTTGCACAACGAGCTGTAGACTGCAAGAAGTCAAAAGTGTTCACCGTCTGCAAAGGTGTCCACCTCTCCGCCCGGTTTCCTCTCCACGCTGGCCACGAGACAACCAAATGCTGCTCCAATCTGCCCAGGACATTGCAAATGCTCCCAATGGGTGGAGTCGCTCCCTCGCTTAAATCCAGGCTCTCTTTGTCATAGGGACGTTTGTCGCTAGCGCTCCGAACGTCCATATCGGCACACCACGACGGTTTCTCCGCGTGCGATGCGGACAAGCCGCTTCCCAGATAAGAAGCGGGGAGCAGACGACGATGCAGCGGCTGCCACCGGCGGCCTTTGCAGCATGTCTGCGGCCCATTCTAGATGGCCGCTCGGCCGCGGTAGCAAAGTGCGGCGGCCTGTTGCTTAGCAAACTTTCCGAATTTTATTATTTTTAAAATTATCACAAATTTTCTGTCGGCGATATCCACGGGAGCCATTCAATTTCCTTTGCTAAAAACAGACACAAATACATTGAAGAATTGCAAACGGGAAATCATGATCACTTCGCTATAGCCGGTTAAGGATTACAAGCTTTTTGATTTTGGGGAGTGACTGTCCCTGTTTATTGATAGCTGAGGAACACCTCCCGGTGTCGGTGTCCTTGCAGCAATGCGGTACAGAAATAATAATGGCTATATTAGTGAGTGTTTGGCACGTAGTTATGCATCAACGGATGGCTCGGCTAAAATAAAGCTGAAACGGGAAAGGACGCTCCACTTTAGGAAATTTGGGAGCTTGGGGAACTGCTGATTGTACTCTGGGGAACCCCCCTGATTTCTAGGAGCCCAGTTTGTCGCAACCCATTGTATTTGCATGTACATAACTGCTTTATTCGTGTTTTAAGTCATTCTTTTTTGTTTTTTACATCTTTTTTTTTTTTTTTTCATTTTAGTCACAAACTTGCTTTAATCTGATCAAGCAAAGTTGTGACGAGCTTGCACTGGTTTAGGCATTTGATGTACACTCCACGACACTGTTCGTGCAAACAGGACTTCGATGCTCTTTCGCATTTTACTTTGAAAAGCCATAAAAATTTACCACTTAGGTTAGTGTATCCGAACTGTGCACTTTCCGCCACCATAGTAGTTTTGATACAGTCCTTCAATACTGAGCGAGAAACAAAGAAAGCCAGCAATGGCTTGTTTGCGCTAACACTGTCACGCAGTGTACAGATACAGTAAAGATTTGTCTTTACGTAACTTTGCTATTCAAAGGTTGCTCTGTATTACAGGGGCATTATTACGTGCACTGTGGTCATCAAAAAATGGTTGCAAACCGATGGCTGCATTCAACATACTTCTTTTCACGAATTTTAAATGGTTTGTGTCTAGGTTCATTCTGAAGTTCAGAAGAACCCGCTCAAGAACTTTGTGTTCAAGCTAGCCGTGAAGCAGAAGCGCAAACTCCTCAAGAAGTGAGTGAAACCTCACTGGAATTGCTTCCTCCATCCCTCTTGCTACTGTGTTGTTTTTGTGCTTCACTAGTCAATTGAATGTTGCTTTAACAATGCAGCTTACCAGATCATTTGGTCTGGCATTTCTTTATTTCACAGTCATCCAAAAAGTAATCGAGGCACACCTATTGTGCCTTGCAAACAATTTTAAATTCTTCTTGTATTCACGCGGAACATAAACATAATTAGTCTGCCACACAAAATTTTTCCAGGCTCACAAAGCACTGCATTTTAGAAGACCAGTAGCTGAATTTCAACTCACCTTCAGCGAAACATTTGTTATTCAGAATATGGTATTAGTACTTTGCCTTAAGTGAATGGGTGCCCGATTATAACAACTGCTTCCCCCATATCCCACCTTCACCTACTTACGTCACAGACACTTCTGTAGAAACAGTCAAATTTTATGAGAGGCCTTCTTTACCCAGCGTTAGCCGACTTGTAATAAACCGCTGTTGTAATGAAGGTGTGCAGCGAAAGAAGTTACTTGTTATTGGTGTGCTCTGCTGTTTACACAGTTAACAAACCAGAGTGAAGTTATGATGTCCAGGCTTCATCAAGTTGGTGTTTTTTGAGGGACATAGACCAGTCAAAAGCATTTCTTTTCTTTGTGATTTAAAGGTGAGCGTATCACAAGAAACAGAAGGCCCTGAGAATGTTTTAAAGATGTAACCAGACATTTATGTAGTGTGAGACAATTAAAAATAAGAGTCCCAACCCTCTTTCTAGTATGCAAAAGTTGCTGATATCAAAGTGCTCATCAAAGGTTATCAATATAATTTTCTATACTGAGGGTGTATCAGCTTCCTATTTCTTCTTCTAAAGCAAATATCTTGTTACTTTTATTTAAATTTGGATGTCTTTTCTTCTTATGACATCTACTTTACTCTTCAAGGGCAAAGATAAGATTTTCTGCTGTTGATTCCCCTAAACGTAAAGTTGGTCGGAAAAAAATTGGTTAGTTTTCGTACGAGGTGTTTATTCAAGGTGCTGTTGCTTATTATAGCTTACACTCGTCTAAGTGTACAAATACCTTGCACTCGCAATTGGTAAATTGGGCCCTTGCATGCTGAATGGCGAGTGAATTTTCAGGGGCATCACAACCACTGACACCATCTGGGACAAGCTTGTGTTCAAGAAAATTCGTGACCAGCTGGGTGGAAACATCCGCTACTGTGTCACGACATCTGCTCCTGCAGCAGCGGAAGTTCTCAATTTCTTCCGGATTGTGTTTGGGTGCCTCGTAAGTGGTCCGCTCACCTTCTTTGCTCAACAACCTTCGCTCATTTCTACCTCCATTGTGAGGCTCTTAAATACTCCCACTTGGGTTTATATTTAAATGCTGCATGAACTAGGTAGCTGGAGTGTTGAAAGTGAGCTGCCAACATAGCACGAGTCTTGCCAGTATTTGGGGAGCTTGACTTATATCTGGAGTAACAAAACAAGAATTGCAGGAATCCCGCAAAGTGCAGCTCTATTCTAAAAGGATGCTGTTTGTGGAGCTTATTCAGCACCATCTATGATGGTTGTGGTAAAGAACCAATGTCAGATGACAACTGCTGCGTACAAATCGGCTCCAATAGCAGCCTTCTATGTCGGGTAGCACCGTCTATGTGTACTTCCTCGAAATTTATGAAGCATTCAAACCAGAAATGTAGAAAGACCAAAAATTACAGTTTGCATCGCAGTTAGAAAACAGTCTGGAGATTCAGTGATAAAATCGTGACACCTTTTGTCTCGTCCTAGATTGTGGAAGTCTACGGAAGCACGGAAGTAAGCGTGGTGACCAGCACATTGCCGTACGACTTTGACGGTGGTGAGTATTTTTCATTGGGCTCCACAAAGAATGGCAGCAGACATTATTTCGAAGGTCGTTGCCGGCCCACATCTCAAAGCAGTTTACAAAAAAAAATATTGATGAAAGGGCAGGTGAGCTCGTGTATATAGAACATGACAGTAAACCCTAGGACTAGGGTGGAAAAAAAAAATGAATAACTATAAGATAGAGTATCTCTCTCTGTCTGCACACTACTTCACCCCAGTCTCGAGGCTTACCCCTACGTTCACAGCAGTTGTTTTCAAATTGTCTCCTTAAAACTTTTAATGCCATCAGCAGTGTTATACAGGGGAAACGTAAAATTGTGAGGAAAGTTTAATGGTCCTGGGAAAAGAGAATTCAATCTGAAGGAAGTCAGCAGCATCTGCGAAGATGTGTTACTTTTTGTGCAAGCCTTCTTTGTCTTCCTTGCAAAGCAAGCTTTCCCCCTGGTTTTGGATGTGTTGCTCCGTTATCTCGCATACTCTCTGCTGTCTCCCATCTTACGAGGGTACACTCCCAAAGAAACGTCCTAAAAAGGATGTCCTGTGCAATTGTTCAGGAAACCGAGAGGTTATGATTAACTGCAGACTTTCCCGCTAAATCTTTGAAAGTGCCATCAGAAAAATTTAAATGGTTGGATATTGAAGATGCGTTGCAAGTGGAATAGCACACACACTTTAATAGTCATATTAGTAGTTGCACAGCCATACTACTTGAGCTTTGGATGCTGCTTCTTAAAGGCACCGCAAAACTGCTGCAAAGGCTTGGTGGCTTGGCATGTTGAAACGCCATGGCTTTACAAGTATGTCGAGGGAAATCTTGTGCTGCAGACAGATATCGTAAGTCAAATTACGACTCCAACTGGTGTCGAAAAGAACGGGCATTTCATTGTTCTACCGCGGCTCTGGCCAGAAAAGCACGCTGATAATGGAGACGTAGAATGCAGCTTGACGCATCATATGCCAAGTGGACGTGTCCTTCTCATTGTGTACTTGTTTTTGCAAAAAAAGGTTTGATGCTTTGACTGCACTTTGCTTGAATCCGGCGGGAGCACAATCAGCTCGGATTTGGTTCTCTTCGATCCAGATCATGTGGGTTGCCTGTTCGACGGCGTGGAGCTGAAGCTCATAGACGTTCCCGAGATGAACTACTTTGCAAAGGATGACCGGGGAGAGGTTGGTTCGTTTGCCGCATTTTCGTTTTGTGTGGGTGACGTTTCACGTTGCCTTAAAGCTTGTGTCTTCTTTAAAGGCCTCGAAGGGACCAGGTGAATCCTAGATCATATTATTATGCGAGCTCCTGTGTGACACAAGGAGGATATTTAATTTTATTGCTGTTTAAAGTTGGTATCAGAAGCGTGAATAAGGGAAGAGAAGGGTAAGTTGCTAAGGTACACGAGCCAGAGCATGCGCAACTGGGGCAAGAAAACAAGTGACATGCTTTTTATGATGTTAGTGTTTTTCGGTAAAGTGACCTTGGAACCATTTTAATTAAGACACCGCAGTCAAAAACGGTTGGGTAGCTCATAACACATGAAAAAGAGCTATTTCGTTACAGAAATTGCTCTTTTTTTTATGCCACGAAGAAAAAAACAAGGAAAAAGAGCCGACGTATTTCGGGGAAACGGGGAACGAAATCCCACCGAGGAGCAGTCACATGGTGCCTTTCTATTAAGCAAGAGATGTATGATGTAACAGCGCCAGTTGTGCAAACCTTGTGTGCTTTGTTGAGCGTCATTTTGCATTCTTCAAGACTCATACCAACAAGCCCAGCTTAACGTCTTGACGCGAGACTCCTAACGGAGGCGGTCGCGGCGAACGTGCCAAATCCTTTCCAGATCTGCGTCCGGAGTCCCATGACCTTCAAGGGCTACTACAAGAACCCCGAGGCCACGGCTGCCGCGATCACGCCCGACGGCTGGGTACTCACCGGCGACATCGGCACGTGGACCTCGGTGGGTCAATCCTGTTAACTACAAAGGCAATAACAACCTTTGTTTGCAAAAGTTTGAGGTACTGTGAGTGGCTCGCAAGGCCCATCTTCACGCGACACGGTCGTTTTTACGTCCACACCCTATAGTTCTGGGCTCGCCACAGCACAACCAACTTCTATGGATTGGTACATTTGACGCGCTGAAGACTTGGTCGTCGGTTCGGACAAACTTCGCAACTCTGAGTGAGCGCGGATGGACCGAATGACATTTATCCACGCGCTTTGGCGCAAAGCTGTATCAAACGTCTCGTCCAGTTCAGGTGCCCACAATCCGACGGAAGCCCATTGCGCACAAGGCATCGTGTAACCGAGACTTTGGTTGCACGTCGAGAGATCCCCGGGTGGTTGACGTTAATTCTCGGTCCTCCGCTGGGGCGTGCAAGATGCCCCTTGATTGGTTTGACGTGTAAAACCCTCAAATTTGACTTCCGCTGCTCTCATTCGCTGTGGGTGCACACCACGGTGCTGTCCCTTGGCTCTCACGGAAAGCGTTCTGCCGTTGTGGCGAGGTCTGGCGAAGATGCATGCACTTCCCGCCCGCGTCACTTGACGCGGGCAGGAAGTGCAGAAGAATTTCAGATGGAGCAGGATCGAACCTACGACCTTTTGGTTGCGAGCTGGACACACTATCGACTAGGCCACGCAGACACACTTGCATGGCTTGGGAATAAGCGGGGGTTTATATTTTCAAAGGCGAAGCTTAAACGTCCTGCTGTAATTTTCTAACGCTGTGACACGTACGGCGGCGATGACGCATTTGAAAGTCTCTACCTGAATGCAACACCGTGCGTATACAGCGGGAGGTCTTGCTGTTTGTTATATCTTCGTCCGTGTCGTTCTGTGTTTGTCCCTTGTCCGTATCCCGTCTCGGGTTTACAACTATGCTCTATAAGCACTACATTTTCAAGGTACAGTAGACTCTCATTAATTCAAACTCCAGGAAGCCATAAATTTTGTTTGAATTATCAGAAATTCATCTTAATATGATGCAAGACAAAATTGTGATTTGCCATATGAATTGCTACACATACAAAGCAGATATTTGATGATTTCCTCTATATAGGCCTACTGATCATAAGCAGGTATACCACACACGAGACATTTGTGAAATGTAGGACATCAGTTTATTTATCCTTCAAAAATGTCCTTTATTGTGGACAGTTTAGGCAAGCACATGAAAACTCGACACAAAATTGGTTTGTTCATCGGGTCATGAATTTGTCTAATGTGAACTATTAAGCAGGGAACACACGAGCGATGAAAACGGGCGTCATGCAGCAGTTTTCATAGCAGCTTGCGCAGACTCTGTGACAAGGACCTATGCCATGCCGCCACGTCTGCACAAGTTGGTATAGAAATTTCGGCATGGTGCCCGGTTTTATAGCTCGCAGGTGCCCTGCTTGAGCCCCGTTGAGTGCACTTCTCACCGAGCACCGGTGCACTGCAGAGAAGTAACACCCACGGAAGCAAGCTCCGCGGGTGTTGTCTGTCTGGTGCATTGGGGCCGCGAGAACAAAAAGCATGAATTACGTGAAAACGCCAGTCGAATTAGGCGGTTTATGAAGGCATTAAAAACATAGTGGGACAACTAAAATTTTGGAATTTGTTTGAATTAACCAAAAGTATGAAATACCAGAGTTGGAATTATTGTCGAAAAGGGTCTATATTAAGAAAATCGTGTGCATTGACCCTTTCTTTGTACGATTCTTAGGGATATGAAACGCGACCGGTGGGGAACATCTTTTTGGAAAAAAATAATCTCAACCTTCAAAGGGTTAATGTATTTTTGTTGTTCTTAATGGGAGGGGCATGCAATGCACTGGCTTCTTGCTGGATGTGTACACTCTGTGTACCACAGAAAAGTTGCTCTAGTTTTCCTTTTTCAGTGCAGAATTGCATTCTTGATGAAGCTAGCTCCGATTTAATCTCTAAAGGTGAAACATGCTAAGGTCTAAGAGAGAGTTGTTTGGCTGCCAAACACCTGCACCCTAAGCCCTGCCACCACACAATGCAACTGTAAAAGTAAGGAAAAAAAAATGGTAAAGAAAATGACAAGGAAACGAGGCAGGAGAGAGGACTCTTAGACACTTCAAGAAGACTTTGCCAGCCGCGAAAGCTCCAAAAACAAAAAGAAAAAAAAATAATGGTACAAAAGGAGGACGCGGCAATGCTGGAGTTAGCATTAGCTGCATTCCTCACAAGGCGCAATTCTGCATCTAACAATTTATTCAAACTAAACCTTTTTTTTTTTTGGCAGAAAGGCACATTGAAAGTTATTGACCGGAAGAGGGACTTCTTCAAGCTGTCGCAGGTGAGTGCCAGGTGGAAAATCTGTGCACACCCAATGTCTTACATGTCCTGCTTGTTTTTGTCAACAGGGGGAGTTCATCTCACCCGAGCGAATTGAAAGCGTCTACAGCATGCTGGACTACATTGCTGCCATTTTGGTCGATGGCTGGTCCACTCAGGTATCTCTTTAAATAATGATAATAATAGTATATTATTTTGTTTTGTTATATGTGTTGTATCTACTTATAATTGGCTTATTTGTAAATTATGCACAATAAATGTCTAGATTGCAGTAGATTGCTAAGTCCGTAGTAACTTCTGATATGGTAGAGACGATGGAGATAATAAAAGTAAGTTGTGATATGACAACAAGAATTAAATACCACATGTACATAGACGTTAGCATAGTGAAGATGCTGATGTACTAGACACTGTGCTTGGTTCAGATGACTTCACCGTTAGGCAGTTGTACTGTAGTCGGCAACAATTTTAACCTGGCAAAATTAGTCATAATGTCAGTGTTTGCTCCATTTGTAACATTCATTCTGATGGTAGTGTTTAGTAGATGTATATCGCATTTTCTTTTCTTGATGTCTTGCGTCAATCACTGAAAGTTTTGTGCTTTACTTGAGTCTATCCACTTGCACTATAGTTAGCTTCCATGTGGCATCTTAAAGCACCTACACTCTCAAATTTTCTAAATTTCTTTTCTGTGTTTTGCCTCACAAGTTGAGTGAAGCACTGTTGAAGACACAAACATGAGGGCGCAGGTAGCTCTTCAAAATACTTTTCTTGCATGAGCACTCGTGCTAGCAAGACAATTCTTAGAGGGGCGGTGCAACGATTTTCAGACTTTGGCCAATTAACTGAGGAAATTAATCTGTGTCACCCATGGAACAAAGCACAAAAAGCCGTATTTTCTTTCAAGCACTAGTTTTTATGTAAAAAAATGAAGCAAATCGAAGGTCAAAGTGCCTCAACTCTCCACGTCGCCTTTCGAGTGACGCACTCTGGGGGATCACGTGATATTCCCTTGGGTTCTCACTTCAGAGACCCCAGCCGCTTCCTTCGCGATTATCGACTTTTAAAGGATTAGCATCGTCGAAGGTTGCGGCGAGCGATTGACACAAAAGGCGGTTTGCCACGGGGGTGACGGCGAGTGTAGCAGTGGAGGGGAACAGGTTTTGTTGACTTCCACATATCCCCCCAGAGGACGTCGCACGTCAGTTTTGTTAACGGCCACACGCGGCTGCAGGTGGGCAGATATTTCGTTTTCTTTTTTGCGATTATGCACCGGAATAGCAGTTTTTCAAGGCAAGGTGATGCGTTTTTGGTCACTTGTGCTTGGATAAACAGTATAAAAAATACAAATTGCCAATTCTTTCAACACTAAAATCGTTGCACTACCCCTTTAAAGCCAGCAACTTTTAAGAACCTAAACTCTGTTGTGACATCATCCGATTCCTCGGAATGACCTGCTGTGGCACGTTTCATGGTTACATTTTTTGACAGGATCTTGTAACCTGTGTGAAACTGTGTCGTAGGATTACTAAATATGGATATATTTTTTCTGCCCTGTCTAACCATTTGTTGCACTTTGTTACGATTGATTCTTGCTGTTCCACCTGCATTGCATTCAATGCACTAGCTATCCTAGCAAATTAATAAACTGTTTAAATGCCTTATTGGTGTTCTTTGACCATATCTCCAGGACTTCACCATTGCGATAGTGGTACCCCAAGAAGAGCCAATCAGGGAACTTGCAGCCTTGTGCAAAATCGACAAGAAGGCGAGCTTTGCAGACCTCTGCTCAAACAAGGTAACCTGGCTAAGCATTCTATTCTAGAGACTTCAAAATCGATGACGTGTGATGATACTGCCGTGCCTTACATGCTGGTGCACTTTTCTTGCAATCTTTTATGACAGGAAATACGTAAGGCACTGCTGGCTGAGATGCAAGCTCTGGGTAATGCAAATGGCCTGAACTCTTTACATCAGGTATGTAATGGATCAATCGGAGTTTGTACTGGAACATTTAGAAACGTGCGTTATCTGCCGCGCACGGATGTTACTCGTGCAACTGCCATTGATCTCGGAAGGGCTCCGACTTCCAACAAACATCTTTGTATCCTCTCGGACGTGATAGCATTGCGGTTTGATGTAGCCTTAAAAAAAGATTGAATGACAAAAGCCATTTCTCTTGGAGCAATCCGTGTTTATGTCTCGCTGGGCTCTCTTTTACTTGTTGTCAACCATGTGCCATGCTGCATGTGGCAAGTGAATAATCGGAAATCAAGGCCTAGTGCCGCACCTGTTCTGCAGATGCTAGGGCATTTAATTTAATATTGGATGACATCCCAATGCACTTCATGTTCGTTTGAGCAAATGTTGCTGACAAAATCACACCGAAGAGAGAGCCAATCGGATGCTGTGTAGGAAGCTGGTCTTCTAACCAAACATGGAACAAAAAAAAAAAAAAAAAGGTCTGCCCCCCTACATGAGAACTTCAAATGCATATTTCTGACATCTTTATATATATATATATATATTTATATATATATATCAGGGCGTCGAACCGAAAACCGGAACCGAACCGGTATTTTTCCCGGAACTGAACCCGAACCGTTATATTATTATTGCGATAAACCCGAACCGGAACTGAACCGGAAAAAAAATAACGGTTACCGGCTCATGTCAAAACGGTTCGGCCACGCGCTGTTGACAATGAATGTGCTATCAATGCCATTTGTTTTTTTAAGTGCCGTCAACTGACACACACCTCGCTTACATATTTTTCCTCTCCACTCAGTCTTAGGAATATAAACGCTGCATCCATGAATCTTGACATAGGAACCAGTATTGCGCTGGTCGCGGCTTGCACGGAAGAAAAAAAATTGGAAGGCTGTGCAAAAAAAAAATAGCGTCACGGGATTTCATTTTTCTACAATCTCGTAAATCCTAAATGCTGCTGTGTGCTCATTTCATAACACGTTTCTAGAACGCGCGAGTTCTTGAAGCTTGCTTCCATCGGAATGAGAAAAGAAAAGGCTGTGGAGTTTGATAATAATGCATCCGGTTTCTTATAGGCACTTAGAAGCTAACATATTTGTGAGACAGCGAACTCTTCTATTTTAATATTTATCCTATTACGTTCTTCTGGCGTTGCGTTCGGTGAAGTGTTTTTCATATTCCGTATCTTGTTTAATGAAAACTTCTTTAAGGGTCTAATTTGAGTTACCGAAGGCTAGTTCAAATAAAGAAAGTTGTAATTTCTCCCCACTGTTCCTTCAATTGCTTACACGCCGAGGTGGCGGGATAGTTAGCGAGTTCTACTTGTAAGCGGATTTTACAGCTACTGCGTCGGATCCAATTAGATGAAGTCCGAATGTGTAAACGTCGGTGAGGTAACCTTTGAGTACACAAAGAACCATTCCTGGTAGAAATCCCTGAGCCTTACACTACGATGTATCCCGTTTCGTATGTGCTGATTTCAGATGTTTTATTTGTAATTTATTTTGATGTTTCAATTTGTCATTTATAATTTCCGAACCGGTTCACGAACCGGTTCAGCGCCACGAACCGGTTCGCGGATCGAATTAATTGAACCGGAACAAAATTAATTTACCTGAACCGTAACCAAACCCATATTTTTTTCGGTTCGACACACTGATATATATATATATATTTCTATATTAGTATGACTCATGCATCATATTTCAGTTCAAGAAAAAAAAACTTTTTGTGGTGTGTTGGCTTAACGACTTAGATAATGTTGTTACGTTTCAATACTGATATGTCCCTGAATATGTGAATACAGTGCAACCCACTTATAACAATAATGAGAAGACCCAAAATTTTAATGTTAACCGATTATCACTTTACCTGGACTAGAGACTGAGCGTTTCTAATCTGGAAACTGATTGTTATCAGCTATACATTGTTATATGTGTTATCATTATAAGTGGATTGCACTGTAGTACTAGTTGAGCTCACTCTAGAAATTCATTGATGATAATGGTTGTAAACCGGAATGCAAAAGTTCACTGGTAACAGTCTTTGTTGGTACGACCAGTACTTGGTGTAAGTGCTCAAACTTCCGAGATTGCGACAGTCGTTGCAAAGAGTGAAGTGCTCTGCGAAGACGACTTACCTGCGTTTGGCCATGGCTTCCACATATGAACTTGGCCGACATGGTTTGCAGGTACAAAACCTCCACCTCCACCCCGAGACGAACCTGCTCGAAAGCGGACTTGTCACCAGCACGCTCAAACTGAAGCGCAACTGCGCAAGAGAGTTGTTCAAAGAGGTCATCAGGGATTTGTACGACGAGGGACCACTGCTGGGCAGCTCTCGCAATTTATAGCGCAGTTTTTAAGTGGGCAACTTTGTGAAGGAGCTTTTATCACCTCAAGAACAAGCTATTTTTACCCACCTTTACGCGACACTTCTATTCCAACGTATTTTTACGAAATATGGGGCAAACACTGTTGTCGTTCGCGCCGTTGCGACATATTTTTACGAAATATGGGGTAAACACTGTTGTTCGCGTCGTTGCGGCACGTCAGTGCTGCTATGTCTGCTGAATTTGACTGCATCTGCAGTTCTTTTGAAAAACATTTTTAAAAGAGATTAAGACTTTTCCTTTTCCTAACGTAATGTGAAAGTGGTGCTATGCATGCAATATACTCACTTTATTATGCCCAAATATTTTCTTTTTTAATACGTTGAGCCTCGCATGTTGATTTTTTACGACGTCGTGGCATGCGCGAAACTTTGCACACAGGGTCTGCTTAGTTTCGGGCGATTGCAATGTCTGGCAGCGAAACCGGTTTGGCGTTCTGTGATTTGTACAAATGAAAGGGATGAAGTGCGTCGTGGCAATAAATATATTTTGTCATAGGGTACAGTCTTGGTTGTGGCTGAGCTATAGATTATTATTGGGCTGTCGAACTTGTTGAATGGAGCAAATCACCCGGAGTCGTTTTGGGGTGTCATGCTTCTTGATGGACAAAGCTGGTGCGAGTTGTAATGCTCAGCAAAGAATTGGTTGCAGACACGCTCAGTGCCAAGCATTTGTGCCGTTCAAAGAGCATCTCAAGATTGCTCCAACCTCCGAACATTGGGATATAAAGCAAACTTTGGCCATTGAGATGGTCAATACAATTGTTTTGATAGCCTGTTGTAATTTTACCGAACAAATAAAAAAAAAGAAACGTAACCATGTTTGTCTTAGTTGTTAGCCCTTTTTCGTGAAGTGTGACCTACATGTACAGGGTGGTTTTTTTTTTGTTTTGTTTTAAGCTGTACAGATTTGTTTAAAAAAAGCCATGAAAGTTACACTTGTGCGGTTTGTGCAGGTGAGTTATACAGCCAGGGGGACATTATGCATTATGTAAGTGGCTAATCTGCGATAAGTCGGCCAATTAATTAAAATTCATCAACTTTTTAAGTTGTGAAAATAAAGATATGGTTCCAATTAGAAACTTACTAAGCATTATCGAAAACCACTAAATCAACTCTTTCTAGAATGGCAAAAGCATCAACACAGTTCAAACATGACGTTGGTGCTTTTGTGAGTTTTAGTGTGACAAGGTATTCAGAAGCATCAAGGTTTATTGATTGTGTTAATGCTCTGAATGAGCAGTTATTACCACACTAGTAGTTTCAATTAACACCTTCCAACTCTAAGATGAAACCAGAAAAACAGACTGGTAGCTTGTTGTGCACATTCGAATGTTGTATGCTAATTGTTGAATTTTCTTAAAAGTTTTGTAGCGTTTCTGGCTGGAAGGTTGGTTTTTCGAAGACTATCTAGTGTAGCTTGGGAGTTGTCAGATCGGTACACCTCAGGGGTACTTCAACGGGGCGTAGGAAATCCTGTTTATATTGTTCTTTTCGGCTAGTTGAGAAGGTGCGAACTTCTGCATACCTCTGTGAAGCGGCCCTGGTGGTTGCTAGAGTGCCGGCAATCAATCGCTGAACTTAACTCGTAAAAGGCGCCATTTTTCTCCTACGAACTGTTGCAGACGACGACGACAACTTCGTCCCGTGGGACAGTTAATACTTTTGCATTCAAATCATGCTGTGGTGCCTGTTTCAAGAACTCCAAGGGTATTGCTGAGAAGTGCTTGCTGAAAAAACAAAACATCCAAAAACTGCACAGAACACCAGACGCCATCAATCCATCGATGCTGCCTGTGGATAAAAATTTTGTCTCGGAGTCCTCGTATATCAGGCAGAGTTCGATGGTGAAATAGAATGGGCTTGCGCTATTACCGCTTGGGAAATGGTGCACCATTCTTGCAATACCTCAACTTTGTACTTGCCAAGCCATCGGCCAACATATCTTGCACTGATGTCACAATGCATACTTTTGAGCACCATAAAAAAAGGGAGGAAGCTGCTTTTGTAGGAAATTTGAGTGACAGGTTAATCCTCTATAATTTTCTGGGAGGAGAACAGTGATGGGGGTCTGGGCAAATCAGAGAAAAGACGGGAGCTCCTCCTTCCCCTCTTCTACGATGGCCATCAGAGTGCTCTTTGGACGATGTCGTGCGCAAGCCATGTATTGCGATGCTAAGACCCATTAGAACATGTCTTGCGCTCGGTGACCATCTGAACCAGGCACAAGCGGTTCATGATAAAATCCGGCAATTTTCTCATCCAATGCATCTTTTGCTCTGAAAATGCGAACAGGGCCGCCAGATCCAAGAAAAGAATTATGAAAGTAGCCAACTGGGGTCAAGGTTATTTTTCTTTTTAGTAGCCGTAAACACTTTCAAATGGCGCCAAAACGTTTTTTTCAGTATGTTTAAAAAGAAAAAAGCGCAATCACTTTTTTGTTGCGGTAACAGTACAAAAACAAGAAAAAGTTGTACATTACAGCAAGTTCTACATAGATTATACGAGTAAAAATTAATCTCGCGCAGGCACTTTATGGGCAGGTGGTGAACAGAGTGATCTTCAGAGCTATCTCTATCCTGTACAAGTCAAATAGCAGGCTTGACATCACCCACCCCTTGTCAATTGCTAGGAGTTTCTCCGTCAACGGTGCTTTCTTGTTTCCGCTTTTCTGTACGTACGCGGCATGAACCGCGATCCATGTGCGGCTCTCTGCCAACTGCTGCTTAGATTCTTCAAAACACTCAAAATGTTAATGTGAAAGCGTCGTTGCATCACAGGCTCAAACGGAGAGTAATTACCAGCATTAGCACATAGCCAATCTCAATTTTACGCATCCAAGGACCTCAAAAAGTAGCCAACTTGATGGAAAGTAGCCAAACCTGGCAACCCTGAATGCAAGACACCATCTCTGCTCAAGTGTTCGCATTTGCCTTCAAATCTTGCCACATGCCGCCGAGCACCCACCCTTAAAAAACGTTGAGGCCCACCAATTTCAGTCCATTTTGTACACCAGCTTTCACTCAATTACCACACGGTTTTAAGGTTCCTGGAGCCTCGATGACCACACGTGGTAGACGAGTCACGACACAACCATGAGACCATTTCAGCCGTTTTATTACTCTACTTCAGGGGGATGAACCGAGATGAGTGTGTGGCACCGATACCCGGCCTTCCGTGCTTCACAGGCTTGTAGGTGATGCTGAACTCGCCCAGGTAGTGGCCGATCATCTCTGGCTGCAACAACCAACCAGAATGCACGTCTTAGCTTTCCACTCTCAGAGAACGCTCGTTCTCTTAAACTCCTTCCTTACAAGTAGTCAGAGTTTCAAAAAGAAGTCTTCACATCAGTTTCAGAAGACCATCGTGAGAATAGAAACTTTGTCTCATCATACAAACGACTTCCCCGCGGCACAAACTGCTTCTGGAGTACACAGTTATCAGATGCTGTGGCATAAAGCTGCTCGATCGCGGTAAAACACCAATCGCCGAGATGCCACTGGCAGGGACACACCGGCAGTTAATTACGGTGTCCGGGACACGTTTGTGGTACCATTCGCTCTTGTCGACGTTGCCAACTAGCCCCGTGTTCGTCTCGCGGTTTACGAGATGGCCGTACCTTGATTTCGACCTGGTTGAAGGTCTTGCCGTTGTAGACTCCCACAATGGAGCCAACCATTTCGGGGACCACCAGCATGTCGCGGAGGTGAGTCTTCACCACCTCTGGCTTCTCCAGGGGCCCGCACTCCTTCTTGGCACGCCGGAGCTTCTTGATGAGCGCCAGCGGCTTGCGCTTGAGACCGCGGGCGTAGCGCCGGCGGGCCCGGCAGTGCATCAGCTCCATCAGCTGTGTGCTGCGATTGGACGTCGGAATTATGAACGCCTTAAATACAATGGAATTTCGAAAAGCAGCCTTTACGACTGGCCCTAAAGCATTCTGTGCAGTGCCTACTCGCGGTACAAAGGATATTTACGGCATCATGCTCAATCTGTGACGTGTCCCTAATATATTTGTCGTACTAAAAAATAATAGTGCTTGTTGCAATAACTGAGATTCACAAAACTAATCCCTGGAGAAGGGGAACAAAGGACAAACACGAATCTCTAAACACAGCTAGGTGACTGGTGCGCGACCGAAAAAATCTGCCTGGCCCGGGTATTGAACCTGGGACCTCTCCATTTCCAGTGGAGCGCTCTACCAACTGAGCTAACCAGGGGTTAGACACCAGTAGAGCAAACAGGTTTTATCAGCTGCCACCAGTCGAACACCAACGAGGGTGAAAGGCTTGTATTTTAAGGTTGATTATAATGCAATTAAATGCAAAGGTGCAAGTGAGCTGGACAAGAATGACGAAAATAATCCCTGGAGATAAGGAACAAGAGTGACAAAGGACAAACATAAATAGGTGACTGGTGCGTGACCAAAGAAACCCGCCTGGTCCGGGTATCGAACCCGGGACCCCTCCATTTCCAGTGAGATTCGTTCTGCAAGCCTCAGGCGTTATAAAGTCTGCAATTCAAGCAAGAGTTATGTGGTTTGCTAAAGTTTAAAACAGATTATAATTGATTTTTACTTTTACACAATTAAACATATTAGTAAAAAAATTATCTCCAAGGCACGAGTTTATGCCAAGTTAACATGCACGAGTTTATGCCAAGTTAACATGTGGGATGTTTGCAGCGTGTCCCCGCGCATGTTGGACATACAAACACGGCAGTTTGGACTAAGTCCGCCGTGTTATAGACAGAAATCGGAGCAGCTTTCAATCAATCAAAATTTCGGGGCTCGGTCGTTTGAGAGTACGCCTGCTGGAGCCGATGTTTGCGTCGTTAGCAAGTCACACAAGGCTTTACACAGAAGTGTGTGCCTTTCACACATGTTTGCATGTCCACACCCCTGTCGAAATGCCTCTTTATTAGGCGGGCACACGGCATTTTCGTCTTACCTGGACATGTCAAGCAGTTGATCCAGGTCGACACCGCGGTAGGTGTACTTGCGGAAAGTACGCTTCTTCTTGGCCAACTCTTGCTGATTTTCCTGTTAGCGGACAGAAAAACGATGATGTGTTAGTGCCTTTCGATCGAGAAAACCGTTAATTGTGGATACGTCCATTTCTGCGGGGTTGAGCACGGTGTTTAGATACCGCTAGTTAATGCTCTACCACTGTGCCATTATAAAGAGAAATAAAGACAGAACTGCGAGATAAGAATATTAAATATAAATCGGTGATGAATACGTGGGACAAAATGTTGTTGTTTCAACATTCTAGTTCCCTTAATTTGGTTTTAAAACATGCGATTAAAGACGATTGAGCACTTACGTCCTCCATGTCGACGGACTGTTGGAAAGGAAAGAAAGGCCTAGAGGTACCGGAACCGGAAAATGGTTATGGTTGGTGGCGATGGCAGCGCTGCCGAACTGCGTGGCACGCTTGCGAACTTTTTCGGGGGAACTGTTTCACTTTCGGTTTCGAGTGTCTACTCGATGACTATTTTAAATTTTACTCCACATCGGTTTTATTAAATGGCGCTTCGCTCATCGGTATTGTTTTTTCACTGTTTCATTTTCTAAATTTTTTTACCGTTTTTTTTTATTTATCGCATAGTAATTTAATTACTAATGGGAGAAAAAAAAAAGAAGAAAACTGGAAGGTGCAATCCACGCATATAAAAACAGTAAACAAAAAGCAACCGTTTGACATATGTTTGTTTGACATATGTTTGACATAGACACCCAGCGGAGTGTCTATGTCTTTTTCTGTCCCTGTTTCTCACGCTTCATCTCTCCTCTAAGTTCAGCTGGCCCCAGTCCAAGCAA